GCTTGTGTTAAGGTTAATGGAGAGCGCAATTTGTACCACGGCCTGGTTTGGAGTAGGAGAAGGATGATGGTTTTTAGTCAGTAAGAGTCTGACACTCCCTCACTCTCCCCATCCAGGGTAGAAGACAGCAATTACTCATGTTCTTTCTTTAAAATAGTACAATTATTTACCGCGTTTGGACAAGTTTGCGGTTTTAAGCGTGATGTACCGCGGTTTCGATTACGAACAGTAAAAGGAACGGGGTGTTTTGTAGTCAGTAAGAGTCTGACACTGCCTCTCGCCCCGTCCAGGGTAGGAGAAAGCATATGATTATATTCCCCCATCAAAAAATGGAACGTGTGTATACTGAAGCAAATCCATATATCTAAATAACCCGTCAACTGTTGAACCAACTCCAGGAGTCCTCTGTCAAAAAGCGCGGATGTGTGTACAGCGCTCCTGGAGTCCGCTGCGACCCGTCGCTTTATTTTATCGTTTAATGACGTAACTCTTTACCTTTCCTGCTCTAACTTGCACAAAGTGTATGAAAAAGAGCAAGAACTATGCATAAATTCACATTTTAAGTCTCTAGAACGCACTTGTGACAGATAGTAGACGTTTAAAAAGTAGTATCCTAAATGAGGCGTTTTTTAAAGCTTTTTTCTGTAAATAAAATAAGAATAAAGCGCTTTAGTGCTGATTTTTCAATGATAAGATAAACGTTACCTGAGGAATAATTGTGATGCTGTCGCGTCACAATGTTTGTATAAGACAGTGACAGCAACAATTTTATTCCTAAGAAAACATTTATCTAGTTTTTTTTTTGTATAAGTCGGCAAACGAGCATACGGATTACCTGATGGTAATCAATCGGCGCCGCACATGGACACCCGCAACACCAAAGGAGTTACGAGTGCGTTGCCGACCTTTTGGGACAGGGGTTGCGGATATAACGATCGGGAAGGGAAGGGGGGATTGGGCCTCCGGTAACCTCACTCACACGGCGAAACACAACACTGTTGGTTGTTTCACGCCGGTATTCTGTGAGGCCGTGGTATCACTCCGGTCGAGCCGACCCATTCGTGCCGAAGCTATTGAACAAGCAGCCCTTAGTAAATAAAAAAAGACTAAAATGTCCCACATCATTACAGCTTTCTCAATACATTACGGAACTCCAAAGTGTATGTTTATTTCCTGAAATAACTAAACGTTATTTATGTGCGCGTCTCCGTTTGACTTCCTTGACCTGTGACCTGTAGACTCATAGATGTCCAGACGCGGCCTGTCGCGTTTTGCGTCAAAGAGCCGTCAGATCACCATAGTTTGGGCCCAAACTACGGTGATCTGACGGCTCTTAAGCAGACATCTAGCCGGGGTTTTGGATATAAGAGCTGATGAATCGTGGTCCGTTTCGGAGTAGGATAAACAATGGGGTAGTTTTTAGTCAGTAAGAGTTTGACACTCTCTCTCGTCCCAAGGTAGAATTTGGAAGATTTTATCCCAAAAAGTGAGAAGAAAGATGCTTGAAATAATAACCCAACCTCAATCCTTAAATCCCTTATCCGTAATTTCTTTTTTTTTACGTAATAGTTCGGCAAACGAGCAGACGGATTAGCTGATGGTAAGCAATCAGCGCCGCCCATGGACACCCGCAACGAAGGAGTTACGAGTGCGTTGCTGACCTTTAAGGGATTAGGGATTTGCAGACTCAGGGATTAAGAAGGGATTGGGGGAGGGGAAGGATTGGGCCTCCGGTAACCTCACTCACACGGCGAAACACAACGCTGTGGTTGTTTAACGCCGGTTTTCTGTGAGGCCGTGGTATCATTCCGGTCGAGCCGACCCATTCGTACCGAAGCATGGCTCTCCCACACTTGAAATGCCCAATAAAACCCGGCAACGCACTTGCAGTGCATACTCCTTTGATATTACGAGTGTCCATGAGCGGCGCTAACATGAAAAAAGTATCCATCCAGAACCTTTTACATTAACTTTTTAGTAAATGAACCAGGTACCGCAACGAAACATGTCCATTTATCCTGTTCAAAAAAGAAACACAGTTCCAATGAACCCTAAGTCGAAACTCAAACTTATTTTTAACCTCCGACGCAAAAAGAGGGGTGTTATAGGTTTGACGTGTCTGTCTGTCTGCCTGTCTGTGGCATCCTGGAGCCTGAACGGGTAAAGCGATTTCAATTTAGTTTTTTTTTTGTATTAAAGGTGACGTGCGAGTGTTTTGAGACATGTTTGAGCCATTTAGAAGTTATGGGGGATAACTTCTAAATAGCTCAACCGATTTTCGGTAAGTGGGGAAAGGTAACAGAAAATCTGCAAATATACTCGAGTGGGGTTACAAATGAAAGCGCACCGAAAGGGAACTTAATCAAGAGAAAATTATATAAAACGTAAAAAAAATTAAAGGAATATTACATTTTTTGTCGGAGGTTTTTTAAATTTTATAGTAGGAATCTGTGTTATAACCGACAGAAAATGTAGCTGCGATTTATTTGTCCAATCTAAATACCTACTAAATCATCTAATAATACTTCATGACTTGTCTATACGCATTATAATGCTGTACGCGTATCGCCCTTCACCTTTACGTTATAATGTCATCCGTTGACGATGATCTCCGGCGATGCGCAATACCAAATATCCATGTTTGCATTTGTAAAACCTATTGTTGCCAACGATAGCTAGTGGTCAGGAACTGGAACTCACTAGAGGACTATATAATATAATATAATATAAAAAATGTAAATAAGCACGGAATCGTAACAGTAGTTTCGGAGATTAGCGCGTTTAAAGAAACAAACTCTACAGCTTACATTATATTACTAGCTACTCTCGCGGGGTTTGACTCGCTGCTTGGCTCCATTTGATTGTAGCGTGATTTTTTATAGCCTATAGCACTCGGGAATATTGTAGCTATCTATCAGTGAAAGAATTTTTGCAATCCGACCAGCGGTTCCAAAGATTACCCCCTACATACAAACTTACAAATTTTACCTCTTTATTATATTAGTATAGATGATGATTATAAGGATATTTTACATTTAACAGATTATATGATTTATTATCATAAGTTATCTTAAACGCGTGTTGATTAAGCGTGGACTATCCAATATTTGTTTATGTAGCGAGTTGTGTAATCGAACCATGACCCACGGGTGACATTCGTAATTCAAGGCTGTGTCATAGGCTGTGGTCAAACACCACGTCAAAAAACTAGTATAGTTTTTTGACGATTTTTTGTGAGTGGAAAATCATCAAATGACTTCTCCCACCCAGGGCCGGGCGGGAGGGAGTGTCAGACTCTTACTGACTAAAAACCCCCCTGTTCCTTCTCCTGCTATGGGCAGAGGTCGCGGTGCCTCATTGCGCTTACCCCGCAACCCCGGCTGAACATCAGCCCTTTAGGGCCCCGTCTGTGGTGGTCTATTGGCTCTTTGAGACGCGCACGGAACGCTACGCGCCGTACACTCGACTTAGTTTGAAGAAAAATATGAATATCTTTTCGAAGTTCCAAAAAGAATACAATAAAAAAAGTATATTTCGTAAGTTGTAAGTTTTAGGGGCTGTTTTACAAAATCTTAATAGTAGCAACAAAATTTTTTTTTTTTTTTTTTAAACGTTGCCCCACATTAGGATTTTCTCCTGTGTCGTGGGTGCGTTTACAAACATACAATTTCACATACACGTCACACCCAGACCCGGAACAACAATCTGTGGATCACACAAAGAGTTGTTCCGTGCGGGAATCGAACCCGCGACACGTTGCGCGGCAGCCAGTTGCCCAGCCACCGCGCCAACCGTGCAGTCGAATGTATATGTATATGATTAGCCACCTCCACTTAAAGCAGGAGAAGGAACGAGGGTTTTTAGCCGGTAAGAGTCTAGAAGAAATACAAAAATATAATCCAAACTATCCAAACTTAAAGAGTAGTAATGAATCGAAAAGGTTTAGGTAGTCGCTCTTAACACCTTGATCAACGGATGGCTTTGAATAAACAGAAATAATATGTCCAAGGCTATATAACATATTAGCTATATTGTTAAACCATAAAAACAAGGTTTCGAATGTGTCAGAATGTATTTACTATACCTATCACACTTCACGGAATAAATGAATATTATAATTTTGACTAATTATTTATTTGGTCGTGGTGGCCCGAGGTTAAGGAGCCCGATTCTCATGCATGAGGGTGTCGGTTCGAAACCTGGCAAGTACCAATGTGACTTTCCGAGTTATATGTACTTTCTATAATTATTTAGACACCACTGACATACGGTGAAGGTAAACATCGTAAGGAAACCTGGACTTTTAATTTCTAACTATAAGTTTGAGATTGCCAACCCGCATTGAGCAAGCTTGGTGATTAATACTCTAACCTTCTCCGTATGAGAAGAGGCCTTTGCTCAGCAGTGGGCACTTATGGGCTGATGATGATGATGATTATTTATTTGGTAATGTATGCACAGTTGACGAGGTGGCTGGGTAACCGGCTGCCGCGCTACGTATCGCGTCTTCGATTCCCGCGCGTAACAACTCTGTGTGATCCACAAATTGGGTGTAATGTGTATGTGAAATTGTATGTTTGTAAACGCATCATAAGAGAAAATGCCAATGTGGTGCATGATTTAAAAAATATCTACGATTGACGTCACTTTAAGTGTGGGAGAGCTATGCTTCGGCTCCAATGGGCCGGCTCGACCGGAGTGATACCACGGCCTCACAAACCGGCGTGAAACAACCACAGTGTTGTGTTTCGCCGCGTGAGTGAAGTTACCGGAGGTGCAATCCTTAAATATCCCAAACCCTTATCGCCAAAAGGCCAGCATCGCACTCTAACTCCTTTGGTGTTGGGTGGGGCCGATTGCTTACCATCAGGTAATCCGTCTGCTCGTTTGCCGACTTATCCCACTAAAACAAAACACAGGAGAAAATCCAATGCTGACCCAACATTAAATAAAAAAGAAAAAAATTGGATATGCTTCTTAATCTTTGCTTTCTTCCGCAGTGATGTCAAAATTCGGCGTACGAGTCGACGCAGCGGTGTCAGCGCTCGGCGGAGGCGCCGGAGCTGCTTTAGACGAAAACGACTTCATAGACGCCAGCCGTTTAGTCTATGATGCTGTAAGGGAGATCCGAAGAGCTGTTCTTATGAATAGGGTAAGTTAAGCCTTTGACTGTCGACAGAAAACTGTTGGAGGCAAATACTCCGCTATCGGAGGTCACCGGTGACTCCCATGGCGTTGAACGTATAGGTATACTGTGGAACAATTATACCAATGGTGGTAATACCATGGTTCAAAGATGTGACCTCTAAGAGTCATTTTGTAAGCAAAATAACAGTAGCTTTTTTTTCTTTCCTTTCACGGGACCACGGGGTCCCGGACCTTTGGAAGGCATACGAGGAGCCGAAGCCAACTCGCAGTGGCCCGTTGAACAATTTTAATCTAAATGTGATGGGACATCAAACGGCAATTATCCCTGTATGCACTATATAAGTGCACCCAAGGACAATCCCCGGTTGATGCAGGACTATTGTAAAATGTGGTAAAAATTTATAGGGCATAACCCTATCAATTTTTAGGTATGGATTGCTATGCACTAGTGGATGAAAACTATGGAAATACTATGGCCCCTGCCCCTGACCAATATTGATACATACGACGGGGTGACTGGCAAACTCAATTAATGGGCCCCCGGAAACGGCCGCTAGCATGTAGCGACACAGGGGCAACAGTAGGTTTTATTATTAAGTTTGAATCGTTAAAAAATGTTTTTTTTTTTCGTATTGTGAATTTATTAATGAAATATTTTATTCTAGCATTTTTGTAAGAGCGACTGGACGACACGTCTGCTCTCTACAGTGGTTTGTTTCAATCTGACCGAATCATGCAAAAAAAAAATTCTGATATTAATACTATGTAACAAAAACCTGATCAAGAGTGATCAGGAGCTCTGTCCGAGGTTCGATTTCCTGGACTTTTTTTTAATGATGAAGTTTATATTTAACCTGGTCTTCCACGTGTTAGGATGAGGAGGAGCTGGATCCCGAAGACGTGGAATTAGACGAGCATTACACTCTGGAAACACGAAGCAAATGTGAGAGCATAATGATGTATAGGTGGCGTTGGTATGATGTACTCCGATTGTCATTTTTGGGTAATAAAAACGATCTTGTTTCTTGCGTCCGCTAGATGGCGTTAGTTATGAGTTTGGTCTACATTAGGCTTATTCTGGCATGGTATATATTAGTTGATAAAACTTCAAGTAATTTCCGCATCTGATTCCGTCCTTTGCAGGACATATGCCCCTCAATTGCACGCCACTGAGCTCAATGTTCATCTCTTCTTCATCTAAATATCGAAATTAAAATATAAGCTTTTTAATAATTCAACATAATTATATCAAAAAAAGGCCTCCTTCTTGGAAAAGTTTTGCCATAATCCCTTTTTTCCAGTTGGCAAATTAGCATCTTAAGTTCCTAGCCACTGCTATGCGTAGTGTCGTAGAGCCTTGTTGCTGCCTAACGACGTTTTGATAGAGCTTGATAAATGATAACATCTTTAAGTGTGGGAGAGCCATGCTTCGGCACGAATGGGTCGGCTCGACCGGAGTGATACCACGGCCTCACAAAAAACCGGCGTGAAACAACCACAGCGTTGTGTTTCGCCGTGTGAGTGAGGTTACCGGAGGCCCAATCCTTCCCCTCTCCCAATCCCTCCTCAATCCCTTAATCTCCAAATCCCTAATCCCTAAAAGGTCGGCAACGCACTTGTAACTCCTCCGTTGCGGGTGTCCATGGGCGGCGCTGGTTATTGCTTACCATCAGGTAATCCGACCTATTACATAAAAAAAAAACTTGTTGGTTATAATGACTGAATATTTAATTCTTGATCTATAAACGCCAGTTTACAGTGAGACAGACTTGATACGACTGTCTAATATAATAAGAATATTGATTGCAATTAAGCAAATTGCAATAAGTAATAAACGTAGGATTATTAGCTCCTTAAGACATCGGAGTACATCATAATTCGTCCAAAATACTATAGTATTATATGACGTTGGTTGTATGCCGCTAAATGTGTTCGTAGCTAACTTCATGTCATTGCTCTTTGTGGTTGTATATGTTTTGTTATTAATTAACGAGAGATTTTATGTAAGGTTGTAGTGAGGCAGGCTCGACTGGAGTGATACCACGGTCTCTAAGAAAACCAGCGTGAAACAACCACAGCGTTGTGTTTCGCCGTGTGAATGAGGTTATCGGAGGCTCATTTCGGTTTCCGGTTACCTCGCTCGCACAGCTAAACCAAAGCATTGTTTCATGTTGCTTTTTACGAGAAAAGCTCTACCAATTTCAAGTCACAACGGGACTCTTATTCATGAGTAATCAAATCTGCAAGTCAATATAAGAAACTGATCCTTTAACATGTCTCGTTAATTAATAGCAAAACTATTCATTTTTTTAATGTTTTTTTGTGTGTGTCGTCTTTGAGTTCGTGTCTCATTAATTCATTTGTTTTTGTGTTTTAACAATGTAGGAAGGAATTTATTTCAATCTGAAAGTGTATTTAAATGTATAATTAAGTGCTAGCTTTTGCCCGCGACTTTCGCGTGAAGATTTTAGGATAAAAACTATCCTATGTCCTTTCTCGAGTTCCAAACCATGTCTGTACCAAATTTCACAGACATCGGTTCAGTTTAGGCGTGAAGAAAAGACGGACAGACAGACAGAGTTACTTTCGCATTTATAATTATATTAGTAAAGAAGTATAGATGACGTGGTATTTAGACCCGCTATTTGAAAATTTATAGTTTTTTAACCCATGAAGTTAAGACACTTCACGCACGGCAAGCACGGCGGTGCGTAGAGATTTGCACCCGATGTGCCATATTATTATGGTTTGACGTCGGGCCATAAGTGACCGAAGTAATACCATAGCTTCACAGAAAACCGGCGTGAAACAATCGTTGTTTGGCCGTGTGATTGAGGTTAACTGTTCTATTTATGGTTTAGTTGGAATAAATGATTTGATTTGATATGAAAAATATCTTGTTCCGCGACAAAAACCCAGGCTTGTTGCAGGATGCAATTCTATCCTATGCAATCATGCAGGAAAGGACCCACTCTCCCGCTCACATGCATATGCACACATGCAACAAAATGGAAAAACATGCCACGCAATCAAACCTATACTCGGCACGTGTTTTCTCCAAAGATCCTGCAGAGTGACAGGCGAAAACTATAGTCAGAATTTTAATTCGATTCCAGATCTGACATTAAACACTGTCATTTTGTGAAATAATGATACCACATATAACAGTGTAGTGATGAACACAAAAATCGATAAACTATTCGTGAATCAGTTACAGGAAGGCATTCAAAAAGTTACGGCTACCGAATGGTCTAAATGCGTATCCCATGTTGTCAAAGAAGAGGAAAAAATAAGTAAGCTAGATATGTTAATTGACAATAAATATCACAGACACAATTCAGAATAAATGTTACAGAAAGTAACAGCGATTATAAAAGAAAAGTATCAGATCGTTAATTAATTGTCAAAACTAAATTATCGGTTCAGAAATATTTAATTTCCTGATAAATTTAGTTTACGAGAGTAATCGATTCGGAAATATTCGATTTCCATATCGAATAATTTCGCAACGGCACTTTTTAACCCTTGTCATAACGTTGCAACACTGACGCCCGGTTTCTGAAAGGCTTGTCAACGCTAAAATTAACTAATCTCCTGTTAAATCTCTTGTCAAGTCATCTGATTGGTTGTTGATAATTCAGTCAACCAATCAGATGACTTGACAAGAGATTAAATTGATTTTAACATTGATCGGCCGTTCGGAAACCGGCTGTGAAATGATCAAATCTGGAATGGAATTAAAATTCCGAGTACTTATAGATTATTTTTCATAAAATTTACTGAGTAAAAATCCCGAAACAAAGTCAGAGGTCCAAATAAATCCTTCCTACATCGCATGCCATTCGTTGTTCGCATGTTGTCCCGTACCGTGACTAACTTCAGACCAGTGAAGACTTGGACACTGACACGGAATTTGAACCCGTCGAAGACATGACTATGGAAACGAGAAGTCGATGTGAGTGACTGGTTATGGATTTTCAACCTTATGTTTATAGGCGTAGAAGTGGATTTGGGTTGTGGGGTGGTTGCGTTGGATTTTCAGCCTTATAATTATAGATGTAGAGGTGATTTTGGGCTGTAAGGTAATTTGTTTGGGTATTAATTTTCTGTCTCTTTAACACGGTGATGGGAATTTGAATCTTATGTTTTTAAGTGTAAAGGTAGGTTTGGGTTGTTAAACAACTTTTTGCTTGGATGTGTTTATAAGTTGAATGGGGTGTGATTTTGAACTTTAAGTGTTTTGGGGAATGAATTTGAGTGGCTTACACCCGGTTTTTGAAAGGCTTGTCAACGCTAAAATTAACTAATCTCCTGTTAAATCTCTTGTCAAGTCATCTGATTGGTTGTTGATAATTCAGTCAACCAATCAGATGACTTGACAAGAGATTAAATTGATTTTAACATTGATCGGCCTTTCGGAAACCGGGTGCTAGTCATTTAGGGCTATTAGTTTATAGGCGGTGGGAAATTGAACCTTATGTTTTGAGGATTAGATGTAGATTTGAGATATCTCTCTCTCCCCTTTCTCTCTCCCTTTCTATCTATGAACTTTCAGTTTTCTTTGTCCGCTTTTACTTCTACCCTCATCTGTTGAGAGTGTATTTGGCCGTACGTGACGCCAATTACCTAGAATCAGAAAAATGGAATGCTAGGCTACTTTAATTCTGATATAATGGCAAAATCTTAACATTTTAAGCCTTATTTTTTGTGGAATAATTGCTTGAAGTTACTCGTCCTCGGTTCTGAAAGGGAATACTCTTACCGACTAAAAACTACCCCTTTCTTTCTCCAACGCCAAGGTAGCGGTAACCTATCTGCAGTTGATTGCGGGCTAAGCTTAATAAGGTACTGCGACATTGAATGACGTTACCCGTCCTCGGTTCTGAAAGGGAATGTCATACTCTTACCGACTAAAAACTACCCCTTTCTTTCTCCAATGCCAAGGCAGCCGGTATATTTTCGCATGCTATTTAGTCCATCTACACTTTAATAAAAGCTTTCATCATTTGCATGTGCTTCGCTTTAAATAATCATCTATGTTGAGGCCGCTTTTTATATAATAATAACTGTTTTTATATTTACACAGCGAGCGCTCATACTGGCGAGCATGGTGTCGACGAGTATCCTGATATTAGCGGTATTACAAACGCTAGGGTAAGTCCAAATCAAATGATTATACTTTTTTAATTTCTTTATTGAATGTTCTATTTGTAGGGCTAAATACCTGGCTGTAGTGTAGTGGAATGAATCACAATTACAAACCCAAAATTAATTATTATATTTTCGACTTACTCACGCAATAATTTGACGAGATACTCGACTTATTTCAAGCCATGCTAGAGGCCCATATTCATGAGTAGCATTCCGCGACACGCGACAAGGCGACTGTCGCGCTGCATAATATAGCTGCCGAAAACATAATAATTAATTTAGAATGTTTTACAAATTCAAACCCAAAGTTTAAAAAACAAAAAAGTATTATTCGTGTCTATTACGCTTATGCCTCGGCCGCACTCATCGCGACAACATTCGGGCGATAAACTTCGTCTTCGATTCACATATAATACACGAAGTTTGTTATCGCCCTATATCTTATGTGGTTCATAACACTACTAGTACAAGGTTCTTCTAAACAACACCTCTCTGCATCACCCTAAGGTTGATTGGTAAGAATGCCTATGGCGTTAAGTCCGCCTATGTAAAGTAAGAAATAAATCTTCTCTCAACAGGAAGCCATGCGAAAGATGACGGAAGAAGACAAACGCAAGATTCTCCAACAAGTCGAACTCTTCCGTCGGGAGAAGATGACGTTTGATAACGAAGTCGCCAAGTGGGATGACGCCGGTAATGACATCATCATGCTGGCCAAACATATGTGCATGATTATGTTGGAGATGACTGATTTTACTAGGTAAGTTGAAAATAAATTATCTGACACGTATACGAAAATATGCGATAGTATCCGACGAGTATCGGAAAATATCCGACACGTAACCGAAAATATCCGACATGTATCCGAAAATATCCGACATGTATCCGATAGTATCGGACGAGTATCGGAAAATATCCGACACATATCCGAAAATATCCAATAGTATCCGACGAGTATCGGAAAATATCCGACACGTATCCGAAAATATCCGACGTGTATCCAAAAAAGGAAGACGTGTATCTAAAAATATTCGTCAGATATCCGAGAGATAGTATCCAAAATGTCCGGCAAAAAAACAATAAAAAAAGGCTTAATATTCGAAAATATCCGTCACATTCAAAATTGTAAAAAAAAAACAGAAAATACCGAAGTAAAACAAAATACATAAAAAATTGAACAAAATTTTATTGTACCTGAGCATTTTTAAACGTAGTTTTAATTGTTACAAAGCCTTAATTATTATATTAAGTGTTACAAATTCTACCCTTCACCTCCACAGAGGGCGCGGTCCTCTCAAGACGACAATGGATGTTATCAACGCAGCTAAGAAGATATCGGAAGCTGGTACCAAGTTGGATAAACTTACCCGGGAAATAGCTGAACAGGTATTTTGAAATATTTTTCTTTTTATAACCAGAGTTGAATTTTAGATATCCTTTTCACGCCATATCAATGAACAAAGGAATTTATATTTGTAAATCTATACTAATATTATATAGAGGTAAAAATTGTAAGTTTGTATGTAGGGGGTAATCTTTGGAACCGCTAGTCGGATTTCCAAAATTCTTTCATTGATAGATAGCTACTATGTACCTGAGTGCTATAGGCTATAAAACATCACGCTACGATTAAACGGAGGCGAGCAGCGGGTGAAACCGCGCGAGAGTTGCTAGTAGGCCATTAAACAGCACTTTTACACGTCAAAATTATATGTAAAAAACTAGATGAAGCCGGCATTTCCTATCTGACTATTCTGAGAAGAAATGCCGAAACAAACTCAGAGGTCAGTCTATTTTAACTAATAATCAATATGTACACGTGAGTAACCCGCGATTTTTAGTTAATTTAGTATGTCTCACGATAGTTATTATAAAAACACAGGTCAGTCTATATAATATTACTAGCTACTCTCGCGCGCTGCTCGGCTCCATTTGATCTTAGCGTGATGTTTTATAGCCTACAGCACTCAGGAACATTGTAGCTATCTATCAGTGAAAGAATTTTGGCAATCCGACCAGCGGTTCCAAAGATTACCTCCTACATACAAATTTACAAATTTTACCTCTTTATAATATTAGTATAGACTAGCGGAGCCATCCCGAATTCCCCTACATATCAAACAGCGATATCGTTAAGGCCGTTTCCGAGATCACAAGCTTTTCATTTCTGTCTTTCTTTCTGTCTTTATTTTCTTTCTCTCTCCCACGCAGTGCCCGGAATCATCTACGAAGCAAGACTTGCTCGCCTACCTACAACGCATCGCCCTGTACTGCCATCAAATTCAAATCACAAGCAAAGTGAAGGCCGACGTTCAAAACATATCCGGAGAGCTTATTGTTAGCGGGGTAAGTCTGTTTTTGTACTATTTCTCCCCCATCCCCTCCTATGATGGGGGGACGATCCCCAATCCCTAAATGGCCGGCAGAGCATACTTGTTACTAAGAACTCTAATGTTGCGAGTTGTCTGTTCTTGTACTAATTTCCCCCATCCCCTTGTGATGGGGGGGATCCCCAATCCCCTAATGGCCGGCAACATTCGTGGAACTGTAATGTTGCGAGTGTTCAAAAGAAAGTCTGTTTTTGTACTACTTTCCCCCATCTCCCCGTGATGGGGGGGGGATCCCCAATCCCCAAATAGCCGGTAACAAACTTGTAACTAACTCCTGTAATGTTGGAAGTGTCCATGAGCAGCGCCGATGGCTTACCATCAGGTAATCCGTTCGTTTGATGACTATGAAAAATTAAATTCTATAAAATGTGATGTAATCTTTACTGTTTCTTTCTAGCGAAGACTGTTAAGGGTTTGACTCCCTACATAATACATTTTAATACAGTTTATCGATAAAAATTGTACAAGGCCAAGCCTAGATATTTTTTCTGATATTTCGCATTAGGCTCGTCCTATATTACATAATTTGTAAGTCGTGGTGACCCGGAGATTAAGGCACCGGACTTAGCAAGTACCAATGTGACTTTTTCTAAGTCATATGTACCACATTTCCAAGCATATTTAGACACCACTGACAAACGGTGAGCGAAAACATCGTGAGGGAATCTGGACTTAAATTTTTAACTATAAGTTTAAAAGCCAATTCGTCTTGAGCAAACGTGGTGGTTAATGCTCAAACCTTCTCCGTGTGAAAAGAGGTCTTTGCTCAGCAGTGGGCACTTATAGGCTGATGATGATGATGATGTGAATCTTAACAAAACTGATGGAAATTGAGTGCTATACAGTAAACAATGAGTTTATTTCTGCAAATAGAAACAAGGTCAGTCTCTTTTCAAGTCCAGACAATGTGATGTGAGAGAACAATGCAAGTTCATCCCGTAGTGGTCTTTTATGAAAGAACCACACCATTTTAAGTGGACCCGTTCTGAAGAACAACACTAACAAGTGTAGGTTTTCTGGGCTTGCCGGGGTTGCGGGGTAAGCGTAATGAGGCACCGCGACCTCGGCCCAGAGCAGGAGAAAGAAAAGGGGGGTTTTTGGTCAGTAAGAGTCTGACACTCCCTCCCGTTTGGCCCTGGGCGGGAGAAGTAATTTGATGATTTTCCCCTCACAAAAAAAGTGGTCTTTTGAGGAAAGAACCACACCAGTTTAAGTGGACCCGTTCTGAAGAAAGGCACGCAAGTGTCAGTTTACAACCAGTTCAAGTAACAAGTGTAGGTTTTCTTCCCTTCGCTGATTTAAAGTCATGATATGTTCAACAGAATAATTCAAAAATGCAAGCTGAGAACAACAGTGGTATTATAGTCTCCGGGGTAAGTTTAAGGGTTGGTTTCGGTGGCTATGTATGAAATGTCCGTCTGAAAGTCATATCTGTCTCGTTATAAAAAGTTTTGTAAAGTCAAACAGTCATCTGGGCTTTAGGAATTTGGTTCCGATAAAATTCCATGTCGGATTTAAGAGCGTTTAAGTGGTTAAGGGTCTTTGTATAAAAAATTGCTCTAACAGGTGATTGCGGGACTTAAAAGGCCAATAGACTACCATAGATTTGGCCTTCAAGGGCTGATACAGCCGGGGTTGCGGGGTACCGTAATATGGTATCGTGGACTTGGTCTAGAGCAGGAGAAGGAAAAGGGGGTTTTTAGTCAGTAAGAGTCTGACACTCCCTCTTTGACTTCTCGATTGCTTGACTACTGGCAGCGATTCCCACACGGAACAACCTTGTGTGATCTGTGTATGTGGAATTCTTTGCTTGTGTGAACGTACCCACGACACAAGAGAAAATCCTAGTGTGGCAACGTTTCTTTTTTAAACTAAAACCAAAAAAGAGCTTTATTATGAAGGTTAGTCCCATGTTTTGTTTTGTCCCATTTAAGTGTGGGAGAGCCATGCTTCGGCACGAATGGGCCGGCTCGACCGGAGTGATATCACGACCTCACAGAAAACCGGCGTGAAACAACCACAGCGTTGTGTTTCGCCGTGTGAGTGAGGTTACCGGAGGCCCAATCCTTCCCCTTCCCCAATCCCTAAATTTCCAAATCCCTAATACCTAAAAGGTCGGCAACGCACTCGTAACTCCTCCGTTGCGGGTGTCCATGGGCGGCGTTGATTGCTTACCATCAGGTAATCCGTCTGCTCGTTTGCCGACTTATTACATAAAAAAAAAAAAAAATGTTAAAGTTTTAAATCGGATCTGTAGTTTCCATGATTTTTGACCTTGAAAGCTTTTTTTATGGAGACCCGTACGTTGTAAACGCTCTTAAACTTTTCAATTGTGGTAATTCGAGACACTGAAGAAAAATTGGTCGAACGTTCGCTTAGGTTTTGGTAGATTAAGGGCGAGAATCTGTGTTGCATTTGTGACGTGAATATTGTAATCCGTATGGATTTTGTTGTGCCGTTAAATAGCCGTGGTTTTTGGAGCTTTGTGACGTTCAATATTCGGCTGGGTTTTAATAATAATAATAATGTGTTTTTGTTTTTTCTTCTCCTCAAATAATATCTTCTGATTTATTTCGTTGTGGGATCCGAGACAGTCATTCATGTCCCTGGAACGCGCCGGCCTTCAGTGTTCCGGTGTTTTCATGGTTGTGTCTACTGTAGATCCTGATGCACAGGAGTTGCAGCGGTTTTGGGAGGTTGTGGCGGGATTGTCCCATCAAAAATGATATGTTAATTGTGGTCTAAGCTATCATAGTGCCGATGATTGTGTCAGTCGGAGAGTGTGGGAGAGCCATGCTTCGGCACGAATGGGTCAGCTCGACCGGAGTGATACCACAGCCTCACAGAAAACCGGCGTGAAACAACCACAGCGTTGTATTTCGCCATGTGAGTGAGGTTACCGCCCCATCCTTCCCCTACCCCAATCCCTAAATCTCCAAAACCCTACCCTCAAAAGGTCGGTAACGCACTCGTAACTCTTCCGTTGTTGTGAATGTCCATGGGCCGCTCTGATTGCTTAATGCTTACCATCAGGTATTCGCAAGCCCGTTTGCCGTCCAACATGAAAAAGTCCCCAAAAGCCTCGACAACCACCTTAAGCGAAGTCAAGACTGCACGGTTGGCGCGGTGGCTGGGCAACTGGCTGCCGTGCAACGTGTCGCGGGTTCGATTCTCGCACGGAACAACTCTTTGTGTGATCTACAAATTGTTGTTCCGGGTCTGGTTGTGATGTGTATGTGAATTTGTAATGTTCGTAAACGCACCCACGACACAGGAGAAAATCCTAGTGTGGGGCAACGATTTTCAAAAAAAAGCTGCTAAAGAATCTTCGGTGATTAATGCAGTATGGTAATATGGTTCATAGTGATTTGTACCTCCAAGTATTATTGCACTTAAGTGTCCAAGTCACTTAAGTGTGTTTTTTTATATAATCCAAACTAATATTATAAATAACGAAAGCAACTCTGTCTGTCTGCCTTTTCTTCACGCCTAAACTACTGAACCGATTTCTGTGAAATTCGGTACAGACATAGTTTGCAACTCGAGAAAGGACATAGGATAGTTTTCAAACCAAAAAATCCGCAAGAACTCACTATTCCACGCGAACGAAGGCGCGGGTAAAAGTTAGTAAGTCTATAATTGAATGTATTGGTAATCGTTCTAGCTGGACAGCGCAACATCCCTAATCCAAGCTGCCAAGAATCTGATGAATGCCGTCGTACTCACCGTGAAAGCGTCTTACGTCGCCTCCACGAAGTACACCAGGCAGGGAACTATCGCTGTAAGTTCTTTATTATAATTTTTAATCTAATTTCTTTCAATATGTATGCTTCTCCAACAGGAGTGATACCACGGCCTTAAAGTATACTGGCGTGATGCCACTATGGCGTTGTGTCACGTTGTGTAACTTGTGTATACGCTAACACCCTCTCTACCCTCCTTATTGTGCTTAACTCTCAACCTAGGCTAATCTGTGTATATGGTGGAAACCCAATCATCTCCGTCCCACATCCTCAATTCCCAAGGTCAATGAGTCCCCAATCCCCGAATCTCCCAAATCTGCAACACCCGATCCTCAAATGTAAAATACACCCCAAACGGCAGTTGTGTCCTTTGGCAGATTGTTTTGCTTACCATCAGGTAATCCGTCTCCTATCCCAGAAAAAAATAATTTGGTGGTAACTAATAGCATTAATAGAAAGATCCCTAATTCCTAAATCTCCAACAATCGATCCTTATATCTCAAAAAAACTCCCCTCCCCCTTCCTCCAAAGGCTGTCAAAACAACGCTTTTAACTTCTCGTGTGTTGCGAGTGTACATAAGATTGTTAGATGTCCAGATTGGATTGCTTACCATCAGGTGATCCATCTCTTATCCCAGAAGAAAAAAAAGATAATTTGTAAATTAATACCCCGGTGTGTTAAAATGATGTGGTGGCCCGGAGGTTAAGGCGCCCGCTTCTCATGCATGAGGTCGCGGTTCCGAAACCTGGCAAGTACCAATGTGACTTTTTCCGAGTTATATGTACTTTCTATGATTATTTAGACACCACTGACATACGGTGAAAGTAAACATCGTGAGGAAACCTGGACTTATAATTTCTAATTATAAGTTTGAAATCGCCAATCTGTCTTGAGCAAGCGTGGTGTAAGCTCGAACCTTCTCCTTGTGAGAAGAGGCCTTTGCTCAGCAGTGGGCACTTATAGGCTGATGATGATGATTATAAGCATGGTGTGTTGAATTGTATCGGACAAGCTTAACCAGAGCTTAGCATTAGGCTGGTATCCCACTAGGCGTTTTACTAGCGTTGGCGTCAACGTCGCGCTTACGCAGCGTCGACGCCGCGACTTCGCGCCTTGTTGGCAACAAGTATATGCCATATTTTAATTTTGATTATATTCTGTACCTTCAACTATATTCGTATGCCTAAAAGGCCAAACATGAGGCCTATGTATCCTTATTGACACCCCTGCATGCTACGTGTTCGAAAAATAAAATTTCTTGAATCTTGTACATTTGATACAGCAGGACGACATGATTGTACTTATTACCAACAATCCCGACGTTAACGTAGCGCAGACGCGACGTTGACGTCGCGTTCATAGGACGTTTATGTTTGCCACGCGACGACACGGCGTCAACGTCGCGTAAGTTAGACAATAGACCACCACAGACGGGGCCCTAAAGGGCTGATGTTCATCCGGGGTTGCGGGGTAAGCGCAATGAGGCACCGCGACCTCGGCCCAGAGCAGGAGAAGGAACGGGGGGTTTTTAGTCAGGAAGAGTCTGACACTTCTTCCCTGCCCTGGGTGGGAGAAGTCATTTGATGATTTTCCCCTCCGTGTATGTTGGAAACAGATACAATCACGATATCCTGCTCTTTGAAATGTAGTCATTGGCATAAGCGTATACCAAGAAAGGCCACTTCAACGTAGCGTCATCGCGGCGTTGACGCTGCGCAAACGCGACGTGGTCGTCAATGCTAGTAAAACGCCTAGTTTGACGCGCCCCAAGTATATAAAATTTGTATGGCGAAGCTTTGGCATCGAGAAATCCTAACAATATATTTATGGCTTGTTTAATTGCAAATACTTACTAATACAGCCGTTCCAAAGATTACCCCTTACATACAAACTTACAAATTTAACAGCACGGTTGGTGCGCTCACTGTCGCGCAACGTGTATCGGGTTCGATTCCCGCACGGAACAACTCTTTGTGTGATCCACAAATTGTTGTTCCTTGTCTGGGTGTAAAGTGTATGTGAATTTGTATGTTTGTAAACGCACCCACGACACAGGAGAAAATCCCAGTGTGGAATCCTACTTTATAATATTAGTATATTAAAAAAAAAAGCTAACTGAATATTTTTTGCTTGACCGCTGACAGAATTACGTGAGTCGTAGATTAAAATCTGTATTTCAATGTTGTTTAATGTTTCTGTGTTTTTATGTCGCAGCCAACTGGGTTAAATAGTCGTTCAACCACTTAGCTATCCTCACCGTTTTCAAAGTTAAATTCATTTATTCCAACTAAACCTGGGGTTGAAGACTGCACGGTTGGTGCGGTGGCTGGGCAACTGGCTGCCGTGCAAAGTCGCGGGTTTGATTCTCGCACGGAACAACTCTTTGTGTGATCCACAAATTGTTGTTCCGGGTCTGGGTGTCACGTGCATGTGAAATTGAATGTTTGTAACCGCTCCCAACGACACAGGAGAAAATCCAAGTGTGGGGCAACGCTTTTTAAAAAAAACCCTATATAGGTAGTTTTGAAACGTCAAAATGGATTTGTCATAAAAATGGCTAAGAAAACGAAAATTTTACCTTTAATAAATAGGCTAGCTAGAGCGTTATTTGAATGGTTGTTTAAGCTAGTTGACTGCGATATGAAATTAGTAATTTATTTATTTATATACAGGGATATCTAAATGTACACTGCAGACCAAAAGTTTAAACCACTCTAATAGAAAGAAGTAGGAAAATACAGGAAACACCAACAAAATATTAAATGTTTAATTAACAAGTTTAACGGTTATTTAATCAATTATAGTTCGTTCCATAATTAGAGACAACGATTTGACATTTCGAATGTTGCAAGTTTTTTCCACTTCATAAATAGTGAAGTCCCGCGACCGGTATTGACCGAAAGACCGAAATTAAATTCTGGACTTCGTGCATTTTAAAAGCTTTATTATTTTTAGCTACTTTCGCTGGTACCTTCCTGTGCCCATACTAACTCAGTGGGGTTAAAATCATGATGGTAAGGAGGCAACCGTAAAATAGTGACCCCCTTTTAGCAGCCATCAGTCCACGACGTATCGTTCATAATTTCTCTTTTCTTTCCGGGAAATCTCCAACAGCTTGGCTTTCAGCATAGGTTCCTCAAATATAATGTTTTTCTTTTAGCCAGTCTTGGATTTCGCATTTTTATTTTAAATTTTAAATTATTATTATTAATTCGACTGAACTATAAAAAACATCACCGCAACGTTGATTTATTTTGCTCAGGATATTTTATAAAAAACGGTATCGGTATTTTATTTAAAACATCGTACTCGGGCCCATCACTATGTTAAAAAATATGGCCACATTATTTTGTAGTTTGACATTTGCTGTTGTCAAATTGTTGTCTCTAATTATGGAACGCACTATAGTCACTAATTAGTGTTTATCGACAAATTGTAATTAAAAAACATAAGGAAATATTAAGTTAACTAAACTTTCATTAAAAGTCCCCCTTTACATTGTATTTTTTCACAAGTCTCGGCGGTATATTAGCAATCAATTTGTTGATGGTGTCTTGTAATATATTGCTCCAACTTTTGCATATAGGACATTATTATTATTATTTTACACCCTTTGAATTTGACATCTAAAATCGAAAAAAAATATTAACAAAAAGATTTAAAATTTAAATAACTATTTTAATTAATTTATTTAAAACGTACTTAAAACATTTTATCATAATTTTAAGCTCATTATTAATATATGGAAGAGAATCCGCGGTTCCATAACCTGGCAAGTACCAATGTGACTTTTCCGAGTTTTATGTACTTACTTTCTATAATTATTTAGACACCGCTGACATACGGTGAAGGTAAACATCGTGAGGAAACCTGGACTTGAAAAAAAAACCTTTGAATTTGTCTGCTAAATGATTTTACATCTAAAATCGAAATTAAATATTAACAAAAAGATTTAAAATTTAAATAGCCCTGTATATAAATTATATTATCTATATTGCATGTTTTTTTTCACTTTTATTTTGATTTTAAAATAATGCATGTCAAAAAAATATTTATTAGCAAAGTCTCTTCACAGCTTGTCAAATTATCGAGTTCGGTAGTTTCGTAGGTCTAAAAACTAAATTTATTCGACGTTTCAATAGAATAAGGGCTGATTTTTTAATAGTCAGATAAATGTTAGCTGAGGAATAAAATTGTTGTTGTCACTGTCTTATACAAACATTGTGACGCGACAACATCATAATTATTCCCCAGGTAACTTTTATCTAACCATTGAAAAATCGGCCCCAAGTTATCTATTTTCTGGGTACCTATATTTTTCAACATTTTCGTTTTGTTTTTTCACATGAAGTTTTATTTCACGATTAGCTTATTTTTTTAATTGATAGCAAATGCGACTGCTCATCAATTTAGTTTTTTATGTATTATTTTTTTTATTGATAATAATGTTTTGGGCAAATGAATTAATTGTGAAAAGATCTACTATATTTCATGTTCTCTTAGTTTAACTAGGGGCTGATTTTTCAATGGTTAGATAAAAGTTAGCTGGTGAATAATTATGTTGCTGTCGCGTCACAATGTTTGTATAAGACAGTGACAGCAACAATTTTATTCCTCAGATAACATTTATCTGACTATTGAAAAATCAGCCCTTATTCGTTATTTTTTTTTATCAAAAATTTTGTGTCTCACTTTAATTATATAGTTTTTTTTTTATTTACTACCTAGTTAAAACTAGTTTTTTCTATTGATTGTGTGTTGTGCACTTTTAAGCGATTACGTAATATAATTTTTTCGTGGTAAATATTTTTGTTTTCTATATTTTCCAGTCGCCAATCGTAGTTTGGCGTATGAAAGCGCCGGAGAAGAAACCTCTGATCCGGCCCGAAAAGCCGGAAGAGGTCCGCGCCAAAGTTCGTCGTGGCAGTCAGAAGAAACAGCCCAGCCCTATACACGCACTCGCCGAGTTCCAAAGTCCGGCTGAGAGTGTCTAGAAGTGAGTATAAATACTTAATTGTTGATGATCTGCAATCCCCATTGAAATTGTCAAGTGTGGGGATTATGGTTAATCGCCTGTTAGTTATGCGTTTGTTCTGTATTTAAGCAATAGGCTTTTTCTTTAGCTTCACTTTTGTAGTCGCACTATCCCCAAGAAAATTGACAAGTGTGGGGATTAAGGTTATTCGCCTCTTAAGAAAACATTTGTGCTGTCCTCTGATTGCACAGCTGAAGGGTGGCTGGACAACAGCCTGTCGAACACGGAACACCTCTTTGTGTAATCCACAAATCGTTGTTCCGGGTCTGGGTGTGATGTGCATGTGAAATTGTATGTTTGTAAACGCACCCACGAAACAAGAAAATTTTCTAAAAACAATTATAAATTAAGAAAAAAAAATCTCATCACTCTCTCTTACTTCAAGATTGGGGATTAATTATTAATTTTATTTTTTTGTTTCAGATCACATTAAATATAATCACGTTAATTTATAATGTTTTACGTACGTAATAAATATCTTAATTTTAAGCTCATTATTGAAATAGCGAAGAGGATCCGCGGCTCCGAAACCTGGCAAGTACCAATGTGACTTTTTCCAAGTTATATGTACTTTCTATGATTATTTAGACACCACTGACATACGGTGAAGGTAAACATCGTAAGGAAACCTGGACTTAGAATTTCTAATTATAAGTTTGAAATCGCTAATCCGCCTTGAGCAAGCGTGGTGTAAGCTCAAACCTTCTCCTTGTGAGAAGAGGCCTGTGCTCAGCAGTGGGCACTTATAGGCTGATGATGATGACCTTTGACTTCTCCTTCGGGGATTTTAAGACGTTCTTAGTCATAAGCAGTTTCTCTTCGCTATATTAACAGTATTGTGTTATATAGGGCGTTCTGAACTGTTTTTCATAAAAGATTAATCCTTTTAATAATGTAATGTTTTGTTCAGCTACACATTATGATGTTAAAAACCATTAAAAAATAATGGTAACTTTTTATAACATAAATAACATAGAAGCCTTTTATCTCTAAATTGGTAGGTTTTTTCTGTATGGGGAAAAAATCATCAAATGACTTCTTCCGACCAGGGTTAGGCGAGAGGGAGTGTCAGACTCTTACTGACTAAAATGACTCCGTTCCTTCTCCTGCTTTAGGCCGAGGCCGCGGTGCCCCCGCAGTCCCGGCTGAAATATGTAGGTTAAAAAAAAACTAATATTTCACCACTTACTAACCAAATTTTTGAACACCCTCTATATAAATGTCAAGTGTCAGAACATCCTGTATACATATATATACAGCTCATTATAATTCCATATACTTATAGTATTAGAGACAATATATAATAGTATTCTTTATTGTAATAATATTTAGGGCTGATTTTTCAATGGTTAGATAAAAGTTACCTGGGGAATAATTATGATGCTGTCGCGTCACAATGTTTGTATAAGACAGTGACAGCAACAATTTTATTCCTCAGATAACATTTGTATGAATATTGGTAAATTAGACCTTAGGCGATAAGTAGTAGCTATTCGCATTTTTACCCAGCGTTTTTGTAATAAGTAAACTTGTGTTTCTTTTTATCCCTATTGTCAATATAATAAAATAGAATTAAATAAATCATTTTTTTATGTAATCGATCGGCAAACGAGCAGACCGTTTACCTGATGGTAAGCAATCAGCGCCGCCCATGGGCACCCGCAACACCAAATGAGTAACCAAAGGTCGGCAACGCACGCGTAAATCCTCCGTTGCGGGTGTCAATTGGCGGCGCTGATTGCTTACCATCAGGTAATCCGTCTGCTCGTTTGCCGACCAATTACATAAAAATAAATAAATAAAAAATAATAAAAATGAAGGTAGATGACAATAAGATTCAAAATTCAAAACCCGACTCAATGGTTTAAACCTGGACTTAAAGATAAACCTTGTTTTTAATAAGGGGGCATACGTTTATGGAAATAATATATGAAAATATAGACATTGAAAATACAAATTCTAAATTTCTATTAAGCCGTAAGGAGGCAATTTTGAAACGTCAAAATCAATAGGGATAAGAGAAATACAATAATTAAAATACAATTTTAATAGGTGAACAGTATTTTGGGAAAAAATGTCTTTTCAATAACTATATAGGATACAGAGAAACATGTTTTTGTTTTATCAACGCGATAATTAATTAAAAATAACAAATTAATTACTTGCGGCTGTTTTTTCATTGGTTATATAAAAGTTACCTGCGGAATAATAATGATGCTGTCGCGTCAGAATGTTTGTATAAGACAGTGACAGCAACAATTTTATTCCTCAGATAACATTTATGTGACTATTGAAAACCTTAATCTTTAGTAAGCATTTTTTCAAAGTCAAAGTCAAAGTCAAAGTCAAGTTTTTTGTCAAAATCATTTATTCCAACTAAACCATAAATATGTACTTTTGAAACGTCAAAATAGAGAAGGAGTCTGTCAGTCTGTTCGTCAGTGAAGCTAGGTGCTCGTTCCAAATCGTAGATTCGAATGGAGAAGAACGAGCAAGAAACTCAATTCGTTACTCTTTTTCTCTCAAAAACAGCTATTTTACTTCACCTAAACGATATGGCATCATATATTGCGATTTCAAACAAAAATCATACCTAAAATATCGACTATTACTAGGTACCATATTCCGAGACATTTTTCTCAAAAAAATTGGTTCATCTATAAAATAATTTATAAAAGAATGCTTTTTATTGTAATTGTAAGTGGATTTCAGAACTTTGCAATAAGTTGCATCTAAGTAATTAAGGTTGTCCAGCCAACTGATGGCAGCTAGGTTGATACGTCAACGACACACGTACTTAGGTATCGATATGAGCTAATGTTTACATGTAAACAGCAGCTCATGTAGTGTAGATGTCCAGTCTACAAGGATATAGCGAGGTTGACTGTCCAGGCGACACACGTACTTAGGTATCGATATGAGCTTAGTGCTCACATGTAGTCCACTCATACTTTTGAAAAATACATTGACATTAAAATTTTCAGAATATTTATTTTATTATGCTGAAAAAACTGTACTATCGAATAGAAAATAAAAATATGTTTATTTATCTGTCTTCTAGTGATGCTATTTCCTATCGCAGCGCCATCTGCAGCGTTCCGCAAATACTTCTGCACATCACATTTATACATCTCCTTATATACGGCAGTATTTAAGACATTTATATGTCAAAAAAATTACACTTAATACGCCAAAATATGGCAATGTTATATCAAAAAACTGACCCTGCAATGTCAAAATATATATTTTCACAATTATAATAGAAAATTGCATTTTAAATGTAAAAATGTCACTATCATGTAAAAAAAAATCTTACTAAAAACAGACATTGTATAATGTCAAATATTATGCCACGTTTATGTCAAATTCTTGCCCCAAAAAAATCGATGCAAGTTATTGTTGAAAGTTTTGAAATTTCTAATCGGTGTGAATGCGAAAAATTGAAAAGATGGCAGCCAAATTTTTTTTAGATATACCTTTATTAATAACATTATTATTATATAACCGTTTTTATTAGGTAGAAAACTAATTAATAGTGTTTTAAGGAACTTTGTATTTTTAGGTTATATTTTAGTGTTTAAGTTTTTTTTCAAGATATCATATTGTGTTTTTGGTTATTTTCCCTGTTGCATTTTATTGTATACTAGCTACTCTTGCTGCTCGGCTCTGTTTAATCGTAGCGTAATGTTTTATAGCCTATAGCACTCAGGAACATTGTAGCTATCTATCAGGGAAAGAATTTTGGCAATCCGACCAGCGGTTCCAAAGATTACCCCCTACATACAAACTTACAAATTTTACCTCTTTATAATATTAGTATAGACTAGCTCACGCGGCTTCTACCGCGTGGTATGTTGACAAATAGCATCAAATCGGTCTAATGTTAACTAGAATGATTAGGGTCATTTTACGCCAAGACGCGACGAATACTTAAAGAAAAACTCTACAAACAACTTTATATTGCATCTTAGCTAACCCGGCAAACTTTGTTCTACCTCAAAACTAATGTTTTCTGTCCTTTTAAACCTTCCAATTTTAATTGAAACAGCCGTTTTCGAGATTAAGATAGACTAACGAGCCTTTGCCGGTGACCTCGTTCGCGTGGAATAGTGACTTCCTGCAGATTTTTGGTATAAAAACTATCCTATGTCCTTTCTGAAATTCCAAGCTATGTCTGTACCAAACATCACACAAGTCGGTTCAGTAGTTTAGGCGTGAAGAAGAGAGACAGAGTTACTTTCGCATTTATAATATTTAGTTTGGAAGTTTGGATAGTAGTCGGCAAGGTATTGATTTCAAAGTCAAAGTCAAAGTCAAAATCATTTATTTCAATTAGACCCATGCAGGCACTTTTGAACGTCAAAAGTTCAAATTCATGCGCAGTGTCTAGCGTTGGACGTTTCACTGACATCTTGGAATTTTTTTCTTAGCGCGTCGCGTCGCGTTTCAATTTGAATTGACCGTTACATGCTATGTTCAGGGAAAATAATCAAAAATTTATATCATTCAAAATAAAATAAAAGTATTATTTTAATGTTTTTTTTTATACTTACATAATATAAGACTTTGTATTGCAGCTGTTTTTTTTTTATGTACCTACTGTACATCACAGTAGTATTTTTTTTGTATGCAGATAAGAAAATAAAGATTGTAAGGACAGTGCCAGTGTAAAAGTTACTGTTAATTTGGCCGTAAATATTGTATCGCCCGATCAAGGGTGATAATAATAATAATATCAAGTATTCGTTTTTTTGCTTATTCTAAGAAAAAAATATGAATTTCACCTTTCTATTTACCTACAACTTACAAAACGGACGAATGGGCCGGAGTGATACCACGGCCTCACAAAAAACCGGCGTGAAACAACCACAGCGTTGTGTTTCGCCGTGTGAGTGAGGTTACTGGAGGCCTGAATTATAAGTTTGAAATTGGCAGTCCGTCTTGAGCTAGCGTGGTCTAAGCTCAAACCTTCTCCGTGTGAGAAGAGGCCTTTGCTCAGCAGTGGGCACTTATAGGCTGATGATATTGTGTGATAGCTACTGTCTCTGTCCTTACTGAATTTTTATTTTTCTGTCTGCGTAGTAATTTTTTTGGATGACTGTTAATTTTATGACATGGACTTGCTTTGTCCTTTAAAAATATCCCGAAGGATTTCGGAAAATTCTCTCTCTGTGCCCCACGCAAATTACATGACAAAAATTCATATTTTACTAACATTAAAAGGACCCATCGATAGATTTTTATTACCCAAGTAATAAAAACGATTTTTGCATAAACTTTTTAATGTTTGACTTGGTATTTTTTGTGTTATACGGTAAACGAAATTGTGATTATTTATTTTTATTTTGTTAATTTTATAAGAGACGTATGTAATGATTTTATATGAACACTGAGATTTTCTACCGTTTTAAGTAGATTTTTTAGAAATAGTACAATAAAAAGTATATAAAAATTTTTTTGGTTGTTTTTTTTTTACTGTCCGTCCCTGATTTGCAAGTAGTTTCTTTATAGCAAACTGTCGGACCGCCCCCGCTTAGCACGGGTCCATCTCGAGAGACGGTCTCCGGCCACCGCGACGCGTGTAGGCTGACTGCGAGTAAGGGTAGGTAGCTCGCCGCCCGACCAGAACCAGACCCGAGCGTATGGCGCGTAGCGTTCCGCGCGCGCCTCAAAGTGCGTATAGACCACCACAGACGGGGCCTTATTGGGCTGATGTTCAGCCGGGGTTGCGGGTAAAAAAGGTAGTAGTTCCCAGTTTTGCCCTCTCCTTTTCTAAAATTTTTATTTAAAAACCTTCTGAAAATATCGAACAACAAATAAAGTATTGACAAAATTGGTCAGGGCGCTGTTGACCTATACGCTTACCAGCACATTTTGTGATCCATTTTTATGTAACACTAGCGGCCCGCCCCCACTTCGCACGGGTCCAACTATCTCGCCATCAAAGGGTCACTTTTTCCCAATCTTTCCCTCTGCTATTCTAATATTTTCTTTGATAAGAACCTTCTCCTGACAATAACGAACACAACAAAAAAAGAATTAGCAAAATTGGCCCAGGCGTTGTTGAGTTATACGCTTACCAACACATTTTTCGATCCATTTTTATATTAAAAGATATAGAAGATAACGATTTAATCACGTTAAAAAATTGAGAAATGTTCAACTACTTACAAAGGCGCGCTAGCTTGAGTACCTATTAATTATTCGTTTGCGCGACGTCGCTTCACGCATGCTTTTCATGTGGACTAACGATATCCGTGGTGTGGCTAGCAGTGATTAGATGGGAAGAGCTGAACATTGAGTTCAGTGGCGTGCTATTGGAGAGGCCTAGCAGTGGACGAAATCAGGCTGACAATCAGCGTCTCCCATTAACAGTCTTAACTTTACACAAGCGTATTGTTGTATTAAAGAATCCATTAAATAGAGTCATCCATTAATAGTATCACTTTTGCACTCGTGCGTAGCTGGGAAGTGTCGTTTGAAGTAAAATAAAACACAGATTTTAATAATAAACTTATCTAATATTTAATTTTGGTCACAAAACTTATTTCCTAAAATACCTACAAATAAAAAAACTTAAACAAAATTGGTATCCTGTATTGTCTAATTAATTAATCTTTTATTTAGTAGACACGGTACGTACCTACAAATCGTTAAGCTAAAAATTATTTACATTTTGCACCTTATTGTTGAGTGATACAAGAATCTAGTAAAGGCCAATTTTATTTATTTTGGTACCTATAGGTCGGCAAACATACAGATGGATTACCTGATGGTAAGCAATCCGCGCCGCCACATCGAGGAGTTCCGATTGCGACCGACATTGCTATATGTTCTGCATGTTTCGGTAGAGATTTGAGGATTATGAGATTGGGGATTGGGTAACCTCACTTATAGAGTAAGCGGTTGTTTCACGCCGGTTTTCTGTGAGAGAACGTTAGAGAAATTAGAGGTACCTACTTTGCAATTGAAGTACCTACTTATCTGAAAAAAATCATACTAATATGTATTATTTATCTATCAGTAAAATTTATATCAGAAACTTGGTAACAACTAACTAATCAATAATAACGCTTTCAAAGCAAATTTTAACAAAATACATTTATTTATTTTCCACAAACAAAATCGCCTACAAATACTTATAAAATACTGATTTCATAGTGCAAACTTAAAAATAACATTCGCGTAGCGTTTTATCAAAATTCAAGGTCAAAAAAGTTTAAATAATCCTAGAAAAATATGTCCATTTCTTGAAACCTAACCACAATCAAGGAAATGGGTTGGTTTGGTCCCACTACTCCTTTTTTTGTCAGGGGAAAATCATCTAATGACTTCTCCCACCCAGGGTAAGACGAGAGAGAGTGTCAGACTCTAACACCCGGTTTTCGAAAGGCCAATCAATGGTAAAATCAATTTAATCTCTTGTCAAGTCATCTGATTGGTTGACTGAATTATCAACAACCAATCAGATGACTTGACAAGAGATTTAACAGGAGATTATAATTTTAGCGTTGACAAGCCTTTCAGAAACCGGGTGTTACTGACTAAAACCCCCCATTCCTTCTCCTGGTCTAGGCCGAGGCTGCGGTGACTCATTGCGCTTACCCCACAACCCCGGCTGGTCCCACTATACTCCAACTTTACTACAATTATTAGATATTAATTCTTTATTGTCAGAATAAGGAATGAATAGGAAAAAAACAGCTTCTGTTTAACCTACAGACAAAAATGTACCTAGTTTAAGACTGCATTTTAATGTTTTTTTTTTTTTTTTGCTATAAGTCGCGAGCAGATCGCCTGATGGTAAGCAGGAATGTCTTCAGTATTCAAGTTCTAATCGATTCGGATTTATATAATTATAAGGCCAAAACTCATAACCAGTCAAAACCACATGTAACTGTAAAAAATAGGCAAAACCCTGACCGATGCTTTCAGTTAAAAACATTTTTGACTGATTTTCGCAGTCAAAAGTGTTTTTAACTAAGGACAAAAGTGGTTTTGACTGTTACATATACACTGAGCTCACACATACTACCCGTGCCGATAAAAAACGGGATTAGAAATGGCGGCTCATTGAGCTGGGAGCGTCAGCATAAAAATGCAATAACAATAAATTTAACTAATAACTGAAGAACGTTACCGTTAAGTGTTTCGTTATTTCATGAATTGAATATTCATTTAATCTGTATGTTATTAACTTATCTCTTGTTTTTATTTAGTTTAATCTTGTCATGTTGAATTTAAAATGTCGTATTAAAAAATATACAAATAAATGATGATTAATGTTCTAACCTTCTCCGTATGAGAAGAGACCCACTGCTAAGCAACAGCAGTGGGCACTTATAGGCTGATGATGATGATGAAAACCTTGTCGTATGACATATTTAAAAAAAAAAGCATCGTTAAATTACCAAATATTAAGGCAATTACTAAAGGGGAAGGCGCGCACGCATAATCAACGTCGTAATTTTTTTGTCAGTCGGTACCAACGAGTGTGAGTATAGACGGAAATAATGTGAGAGCGAGAAGTGAATAGATGCGCCGCCATTTCTAATCCCATTCTTTATCGGCAAGGGTTACATATTTTTAACTACAGTAAAAACAAAGTACCCGCAATGTTTTACCAGAACAAAAATAATAATTTATGATTGTGTTCCGGATCGGATTTTCGATACCTACTTCAAACACGTATTTTAAAGAATCAATTAATTTCTATTACAGCGTTGTTCATGTGGTTGATTTAGGAGATTAATTACGTTTACAACTCACGTTATTTTAAGGTACCTATATATCCGTAAACGAGCAGACGGATTACCTGATGGTAAGCAATCAGCGAAGACCACACATCTGTCGAAGAACCGATGACCGCTGGGGTAAACGTGTTCTAGAGTGGAGACCACGTCTAGGCCAACGTAGTGTAGGGCGCCCTCCAGCTAGGTGGACTGACGACATCCGCAGGGTGGCTGGCAGTGGTTAGATGAGGAGAGCTGAACATCGAGCTCAGTGACGTGCAATTGGGGCGACCTATGTCCAGCAGTGGACGACAACAGGCTGATGATGACGAAGCAATCAGCGCCGTCCAAGGACACTTGTTATACCAAAGGAGTTACAACAAGTGCGTTGCCGACCTCTCGTTGGATATTAGATGTTTAAGGATTGAGGATAGGCAAAGATTGGGTCTCCGGTAACCTCACTCACACGGCGAAACACAACGCTGTGGTTATTTCAAATTTTCTGTGAAGCCTATATACAAATGCGTAATTTATTTAGAAAAATCGAAAATTCAGGTAATGTTTGTTTGGAAAAAAGTTTTGTAATAATACTTAGAATTCGATTGCGCAAAAAAAAATTAAAAATGCATCTTTGACCTTCAATATCTGGAGAACCCGTGGCATCCCAGCTATGGTCTTAAAGAAAAAAATGATCCAAATAATGGGTAGAATACGTGGCTTTCGGCTTCGTTAAGTGTCTTTTTACACCCTGTATATCACTTCGGTCGACCCAGCTTGGATCTGCCACACTCAAAAATAAGTATTGAAAATCCGATCCGACTCAACAAAAACGAACTACCTACAAATTTATTAACAACGACATTATCAACTAATTAACTTTGATTCTTTTGCTAGAGTTTTCGACATCTTCCTCTTCTCTTAACCTTTTAAAATCAACCTTATTTTCTTTTCCTTTAGTCTTTTTTCCCACACCTTTACCCTTAGACCCTTTGGGGTAATATTCTTCGATTTTATGACTATCTTCACCATTCAAAGGCTCTAAATCGAGGCTCTCGTCCAAAACGTTATTCTTTGCTTTTTCAACCAAGACATTTTCTTCTGAATCTGAATGGATAACATTGGGTTTGTCTTTCGGTTTTGAATTCGATGTGCCAGCTGAAATAGGGATTAGTAAAGTTGAACAATGAAACAAGGAACAATTTTTGTAAATCCAAACTAATAATAGGTCTTTCTTTACATATGAAATTGCCGTTTTGCATGAAAAAATTTAAACGATTTTTTTTATTTAAAATGCGATGAAAACGTAACACTAATCAATAAACAAATGACTACTTTTGGAAAAAGAATCCCATGTTTTTAAAATAAAATTAACTAGCCTTAGCGTAACAAAAAACTATTTTGATTTGAAATGGCCAGTACTGCAGAACGGCAATTTCATAGGTAAAGACCTATTATTATAAATGCGAAAGTAGCTCCGTCTGTCTGTCTTTTCTTCACGCCTAAACTACTGAACCGATTTCTGTAGAATTTGGAACAGACATAGTTTGGAACACGAGAAAGGACATAGGATAGTTTTTATACCAAAAATCTACAGGAAGTCACTATTCCACGGGAATGGAGTCGCGGGTAAAAGCTAGTAGGCTATAAAACATCACTGTTATACGTAAAAAAAACTAGATGAAGCCGGCATTTCCTATCGAACTACTCTGAGATGAAATGCCGAAACAAACTTAGAGGGCAGTCTCTTTTAAGACAAGACAATGTAATAAAAATATAATGTCTTAACTAATCAGTGTCGAACAAAGTTGCTTCCTGCTGTTGGTACCTATGTATGCTTAGATCTCTCAAACTACGTGACAGATTTTGATGCGGTTTTTTTTAAATAGACATATTTCTTAACGTATTATATGTATATATTTTTATGTGATACGATAGCAAACGAGCAAACGGATTACCTGATGGTAAGCTATCGGCGCCGCCCATGGTGTGCAACGCCAGAGGAGCAAGTGATGGGATTAGGGAGGGGAGGGTTGGGCCTCCGGTAACCTCAGCCACAAGTCAATGTTGATTCACAACGGTATTCTGTGTGAGGCTATTATCGCTACGGTCGAGCTCGGACCATTTCCGCTGTAACGTGGCCCTATTTTATTATAACTGTATTATCTAAGATTACTATTTTTAGCAACAAGGCTCATATTTAGCCTGATGGTAAGCTGAACACTTATAACCTACATATTACTTCAACACTAGAAATAAGTCAATTAAATGTGGGAGAGCCACGCTTCGACATAAATGTGTCGGCTCGACCGGCGTGATAACACGGCCTCGCAGAAAACTGGCGTGAAACAACTACAGCGTTGTGTGAGTAAGGTTACCGGAGGTCCACCCCTTCCTAATCCTTAATATTCAAAACTCTTATCCCCAAAAGGCCGGCAAAGCACTTGTAAATCTTTATTTATTTTAAAAAAAAAAACGTTGACCCACTTTAGGATTTTCTCCTGTGTTGTGGGTGCGTTAACAAACATACAATGTCACATACACATCACACCCAGACCCGAAACAACAATTTGTGGATCACACAGTGTTGTTCCGTGCGGGAATCAAACCCGCGACACGTTACACGGCAGCCATTTGCCCAGCCACCGCACCAACCGTGCATTCGAAACGAGTTCTTTGTTATTGGAGGTGTCCATGGCCGGCGCTGATTGCTTACCATCAGGTAATCCGTCTGCTCGCTTACCGATCTATCCCATACAAGAAAGATTAACTAGTGACCGTCATAAAGCTAATGGAACTTTACCTGTCTCCTCATCATCAACATTCACCTCCTGATCTCTAGAATCTTCTTTGGTGATGAAAAATCTGGTGATTGGTTTCTGCCACTTCGGAGTTTCGCGGGGACATACTGGATTACCACCGGAGTAACCTTTGGAACCTTTGTCTGAAGAGACTGTTGGAAAAACAAAGTTGTAAGTTTGTATGTAGGGGGTAATCTATGGAACCGCTGGTCGGATTACCAAAATTATTTCACTGATAGATAGCTACAATGTTCCTGAGTGCTATAGGCTATAAAACATCACGCTGCGATCAAATGGAGCCGAGCAGCGTGTGAAACCGCGCGAGAGTAGCTAGTGTGAAAATAAAAATGTAAATGCACCCCTCAGAATACAGAACAAACCAGAAGCCGTCAACGCGCTTCAAACTAAAGCAACTAAAACCATTCTCAACTAGAATAGTATGAAATTTCTTCGATCAGTCAATTTTGGCACGTGGCATGTCGTGACGTATTTACGAGTATCAATTTTATTTCGCCGTCTTGTGTTATTCCTACGAGTAAAAATGCGACTTGAATTACGAAAAATGTGGATAAGATTAAATTTCATCTGCAAGCATCGACTGCAATAGTGTATTTAATTAATTATTGATTTTTTTTTATCGATTTATTTTTCTATGAAAATGATGCGGCCATTTTGTGGGTGTTGCCATTTTTGGTGAAAATTTTACCCACTTATTTATGTGTTGTGAGTTATATTTTTACATTTTTGCCCATTATGGAACCTTTGTCGTATTAGATTCCCTGTCGACAAACAAAGAAAATGAAAATGAATAAAAATCAGACAAAGAGCATGGTTTGATGAATTTGGAAATCATCTAGCCGGAGCATAGTTTTGCTCAATTCACTTTGAACAGCAATATATTTATGACAAAGGTGGTTTAAAAAGACTGAAAAAAAAACAGAAACTCCTACTAACTATACTAATTATAATGCTGAAGAGTTTGTTTGTTGGTTTGCTTGAACGCGCTAATCTGAGGAACTAAGAAAAGTAGGTAAACTTCTAATCAGTTCATAGTCTAGAAGACAATACATGTTATAAAAAAGATAAAACAGCAAAAGAGAACGCAACTAAACCTTTGTACTTATTGAAATTTTGTTTTATTTGTTGTGAATCGTAAGTGTAACTAAAATTAACACAGCTAGAAATCGTCAACTTTTATGAAAGATACCTGCACGAATTGTGTAAACCACTAGTCTGTTAAATTTATCGTAAGATTACCAATTTCTTTTTTGGGTTTTCCCAATAAAATATATTTTGCCCTCCTTTTGTAAAATTACCCCAAACCAAGGGGATTGTTCCACTGTCGGCAACACTACGCGGGTGTGAAGTGCGGCTGGCGGGGGGACTGACGTATTGTTTTTGGACACATTAGACGACATGCAATTGTGAGTGAACGCGGGTTCTGGTATGTTCCGTATTCTGAGATGCACCCACAATAAGAAAGGATATAATATAGGTGCTTGGGCGGGGCAACAATTTGAAATGGAAAAAAACTAAACTAAATCCCACTTACTGCTAGACATTCCAGAGCTGCTTGGAGTGGGTGCTACACAGCATCTAGCTTTACTGCTCTTCCCAGCGGATACTGAAACCAAGATAAACATGGTAAACACAGTCGCTTTCTCTGTCCCTATATTCCTATGTATGCTTAAATCTTTAAAACTACACAACGGATTTTGATGCAGTTTTTTTAATAGTGATTGAAGAGGAAAGTTTATTTGTGAAATAACATCAATTATATAGTGGAAGCATTTTGTTTTACCACTGCATGCGTGCAAAGCTGTGGCGGGTCTGCTAGTTATTAATGAGTACCTATCAGTTTATATAATATATATCCTTTAAGCTTGTTAGCGTTGGAGAACCATGCTTTCACTGTCACTGCAAGGCCTACTTGACTGAAGTGATACCACGGCCTCACAGTACACCGGCATGAAACACTCACAACGTTGTGTGAAGCCATGTAAATGAGGTTACCAGTAGCCCAATCCCCCATTCCCAAACCTAAATCACCCATTCTTCTGAATGTGACAATAAGTATCTTTACTGCGTAACAAACGAAAGAAGATTTTTAGATTTTTGCTACCTACTAAAACTTCTGTTATGAACTTTCTCACCTAACTAAACTTTTAAAGATGTATTTAGTAAAGGAAACATGTTAACAGATTTTCTTTTCATAGTCTAATCTTCATGTAAATACACTTATCAATACAAATATCCTTTATAATTAGATATCGCTGAAGTAATGTAAAAACTTATAATAATCACCTTTAGATCCGACAGATGCTTTTGTTCTAGCCATATTATTAGTTTAGCGATCTAATGCGATAGTTATTTTGTATGAAAACAAAGAAAAAAGAAACAAAAACTAAAAAAAAAAACTATTTTTATTCGCTAATTCATCAACAATAACAGCAAAAGCGCGCGAAAACGCTGTTTTGATCATTAATGTCGCTGTCAAATAGTTTAGTGTCAATTATCACTGGCTGCGTTCAAAACTTTTACATAACCCCGTTTTTTGTAAATATTACAAATTCTTGTTATTAACCGTATAAACTTAATCTTTGTATCATAGGCTCAAAATAATTCTTGATATTTAATCAGCATATCATCTGAAGTGTTCTGAATATTTATTTAATAATAGTCATGTTATTTTAGGAATCGTTAAATATAAAAAAAAAAAATGAAACTATTGACACACAAAAAAACATTAAAATCATCTCCATACAAATTGATAATTGCTAATCTCGGAACTTGGATTATTTTATCAAACAAGGTTCGGAAAAAAGTTAAATCAACAAAACTAAAAAAACGAGGTCAAATTAATAAGAACAAAATAATATAATGGCAACATTATTCAAAAAGCATTCCATTCGTTTGATGTCGTTCGTTCGTTCGTTGAACTTTCGGAAATTCGGAGTTTGTCAGTTCACAGTGCCACTAAAGTGTTTTAGTTTTAACAATAATTTTGTGTTTTTTGTGTATTAATTTCTGATTAAAACAACTACAAGTGTCAGTGTTATAAATATCTTAAGTTTATAGTGAATAATGAGTGATTATTTCACGACTAAATTGTAAAGGTAACCTTACATAAACAATTTTATCTCTTAATTCAATATAACGGTTTTTATACATAATCCATTGTAATAATGCCACATTTTCGTATTATTCTAAAGAAACAAATAATTAATCTAACCTAAAACGATTGGAAAAACTGAAAATTGACTGTTTGCTTCACAGTATTTTTGTGTTTTGGAAATTTCCATCGGAAAAATTTACGTCGAAAATCATTAATTTGTGATATTTATCAACAAACAGAATTTTTATATTTTTAACAATTATATGTGTGATGTAGTACGAGGCGGAACATATTGGATTAAAATTATTATGAAATGTCATGTGGCATTTTTCGTAGATATTAGAAATTATAACCACACAATGGTTTTAATTGTTAATAATTTAGATCTAGATTAATCAGTCCCTTCAACTTTAACGTCAGTAAAGAGGTTACACGTCCCATCGCCGAGGTAATTAAACCCCAGTACCTTAATTTCCTGGCTGGGCATAAATAAAAACAAGTATAATTCTTACTTTGTACTTTCTCAATGGTTATTAAGTATAGCTGGCTGTGTTACGGGGCGCAGTAGAAGAAGGTTATTTGTCCAGCAATGGGCCACAAAAAGCTGATGATGATGAAGAGCACAGAATCTTGGTCATGTGGCTTTATGTGTCTGTCTTGTAGAAGGTTATTTGTCCAGCAATGGGCCACAAAAAGCTGATGATGATGAAGAGCACAGAATCTTGGTCATGTGGCTTTATGTGTCTGTCTTGTGTGTGTGTAAAAATCAACTTGGCCCTATTGCATGGGGCTCATACCATAACTAGTGAAAACTGGGTGTTATATGTATATGTACACCTCTTCCTACACATTCAGAGATTTAATTAGAAGAGATGGCATGATGATATTAAGTTGTAACTTAATGAATGACTGAAAGTTTGAGCTCAATAGATGTTATCATATTTTGTCCAACAGGATTTTCCTGTGGCAAGTCTTCAAGTCTCATTGTAAAAAAAAAAATATACCGTAAGTTCGGGTTACTTTGACCCTGGGAGGTAACTTGGATCCAAATTTATTCTCAGTTATTATTGGTTAAAGGGTTTGGATCAAAGTTACCCCGCAGGGTCAAAGTAACTCGAACTTACCCGGTATATTTGGGGTTTAAGAGATAGCATCCAACCCCAAATGTATTATATAAAATCTTTTTATCACAAAAGCAACAAAGTTAGTATTGATTCAAAAACTTCTTGTGAAAGCTTTGCACAGAATCAACTCTTTCCCTAAGTAACAAACTTAGAATTTATAAGTAGCTCAGTTATAAAACTGAATTGGTAAGTACTCTGGGATTAAGCTGTGGTCTTCAGCTATTAGATCCAATTTTCTCCACAGAGTCCAAAACAACATCCTAAGGAACATGAGTGGTGCCCACATAGCTTAGAAATACATGAATATCTAAATATAAAGACTGGCTGAAGGAACCAAGCTACACACAGGCAACTATGTTGAAAGATTAAAGCACCTTCGCAACCTATTGACAAGTTCTCTGTTAATTTGAAACCCATACAATCGGCTAAAAAGAGTCTGTACCAAATTTCACTGAAATTGGTTCAGTAACAACATTATATTTACGCGGGTATTAACACGGAAAATTATAATTTGAATACCTTGGTAGGCTTGACGTTTCGACCCGGTTGCACAGGTCGTGGTCACAAGCAGACTGAAGACGCGATGTCACAGCTCCCTGCATTCCGCCTAAACTACTGAACCAATATCTAACTGAGATGTTGTTAAGATGAAACGCGAAAGTTTAAAAGTTAGTAATTGGTTCAGTCGTTTAGGCGTGAAGAAAAGACAGATAGACAGACAGAGTTACTTTCGCATTTATAAAGCACCTTCCCAACATATGGACAAGTTCTCTGTTAATATGAAACCTATACAATCGGCTAAAAAGAGTGAATGTGCTAAATTACTAAGGCAGTAGCTTTAATGCACCAAAAATTCCAAGTACTACCAAACATTTCATTATAGTCTGTCTAGATTGCTAATAAAAAAATAACAAATAAAAATATTCAAATTAATATTTGGAATGTGTTTAGGTCTCAAGAAACCTCACTTACACTGCTTTTTCTGTATTGTACATTAAGCACTCTCTGCCTGCTGCTCGTTTCAGTTAAGCCAGCTCATTTGTGCTATAGAAAGGCTCCCCAAAGCGTATAGTGTGACGTTTTTCAATAAGAACTTCTTACAACATGACAAGGCCCGATTTTGAAGTCCCAAACAAAAAAGTCAAATTATTTATTTCAAGTAGATCACAACAAGCACTTCTGAAAGTCAAAACAAATACTAAAATACTTAAATCAATCTATATTGTGGATTATACATTGGTACCTATATAATACAGGTAGCAGAAATATAATAAACTAGCTTTTGCCCATGACTTTGTTTGTGTGGAAAAGTGACTTCCTGCAGATCCTTTTTCGAGTGCCAAACTATGTCTGTACCAAATTTCACACAAATAGGTTCAGTAGTTTAGGCGTGAAGAAAAGACAGACAGACTGAGTTACTTTCGCACTTATAATATTAGTTTGGATTGTGTGTACAGCTATGTCCCGCCTGTAGAGCATACAATAGTAGGTAGGTACATATTATCAAAAAGTTTAACTTTATGTGGAGTCTATCCATCTGCCCTTAGTGAAGATATTTGCTCATTCCAAAGTGCAGATTCCTTTGGATTTACGCTAAACACATTTAAGTTTGTTTCAAATACTTCGTACAACTTTGACAGCACGTTTGGTGCGGTGGCTGGGCAACTGGCTGCCGTACATCGCGTCGCGGGTTCGATTCTCGCACGGAACAACTCTTTGTGTGATCCACAAATTGTTGTTCCGGGTCTGTGTGTGATGTGTATGTGAAATTGTATGTTTGTAACCGCACCCACGACACAGGAGAAAATCTTAGTGAGGGACAACGTTTTTTTTTTAAAAAAAATACGCCTGCGTATTCGCAGGCAGAAGCTAGTAAATAGTATTAGTATTGCATCCGTACGAAGCCGAGACGAGTCGCTAGTCCTAATGTGGGGTTTTTTTTAACACTTTTACTTAAGCAAAGAAATAGTAAAGATTTAAATTAACTAAAAATCGCGGGTTACTCACGTGTACATGTTGAGAAAAGCTCTACTAGTTTCGAACCACAGAGGGGGACGCGGCGACGTCGCGCAGCCTACAGCAGTCAGTAGGCTGCGCGACGTCGCCGCGTCCGCGCACGCTGCTCATGAGGAAGAACCCCTCTGTGGTTCGAAACTAGTAGAGCTTTTCTCAACATGTACACGTGAGTAACCCGCGGATTTTAGTTAATTTAGTATGTCTTACGATAGTTATAAAAACATAGTAAAGATTTATTTAAAACGATAATCATTTTCTCATTTTCAGCACATCCTAAGATGGAAGACGATATTGATATCGAAGAACACGATGTCCTCGACAATCCAAGGATTAAAAGTATCTTCCCGGACCTGTCCAGGGTGAAGATTGAGATACCTGATGAGGATGATGCTCTTGTTGAAGGTTGGTGATTTCATTTATACATAAAGCCATGCTTCAGCATGAACCGGAGTGATACCACGGCCTCACAGAATACCGGCGTGACACAACCACAGAGTTGTGTTTCGCCTTGTAAGGTTACCGGAGGCCCAAACCTTCCCCCGTCCCACATCCCTTCCCTATCCTTAAATAACCGAATCCTTTATCCCTAAAAGGCCGGCCCCAATTACTTACTAATCCGTAATTTACAAATACGTTGAAAAAATACATAAATAAAATACAGCAAAACAATGTATTTGTTAAGTAATATTTTAATAGCATATTTTAGTTGTATTCTAGTATAGTATGTTATATACATATATTTATATATGCCTTGAAGCCTTAAATAAATGGAATATTAGTAAATAATTTATTGTATTTTTCTACTTACATTAGAAATTGGCCAGTGTTTGGCTCCTAACTTTCCTGGATGCTGCCTATATTACAGCATTTTGCCTAGAAGCAAAGCTGTAGCTTCATATACATTATTTAATACTAGCGGTTTTTTTTTGTGAGGGGAAAATCATCAAATGACTTCTCCCGCCCAGGGCCGGGCGAGGAGTGTCAGACTCTTACTGACTAAAAACCCCCCTGTTCCTTCTCCTGCTCTGTGCCGAGGTCGCGGTGCCTCATTGCGCTTACCCCGCAGCCCTGGCGGGTGCAATGCTGATACTAAATATCTCCACTATTTAATGGATGTTACTATACATATAAACCTTCCTCTTCAATCACTCTGTCTATTAAAAAAAACCGCATCAAAATCCGTTCCGTAGTTTTAAAGATTTAAGCATACATAGGGATATAGGGACAGAGAAAGCGATTTTGTTTTTATACTATGTAGTGATTGTTATCATTGCAGATCAATATGAAGTTCCGATAGAGAATCAAGAAGCGTTATATCAATACGAATACAGTTTTGGCAATAATGAAGAAAATGAGGAACCATTGCATTATGAGGATGAAGAAGGGGATGAGGAAGGACAATCGTACTTTTTTAATAACCAAATTATACTGGGTAAGTTTTTATTTAAGCTTGTATATGTCACCGGAAAATAACAAGATCCGTAAGTTTATCAATTTATTAGGAAATTTATAAAGTTTCGTAAGATTCCAAACGGGAGATAAATTGTAATATTTTACGTCTACATTTTCGTAAATTGATAAACTTACTGAACTCACTCGTAAAATAATAAGTAAGCAGTAACCAAACGCTACGCGCGATCTGATTGGTTGGCTGTCACGTGTCACTTCTATGGACACAAGCATTGCCAACTTTCTAGTAAAATGATAAACTTACGGATCTTGTTATTTTCCGGTGACATATACATTATATGCACAAAGAAAACAATTTAGACAAAAATTTTAAAACCAAATTTGAACAGATTCCTTTCAGATCGATTTCTTTATTAAACAGTGTTATTTTAGTTTTTCTGACACTCTTAATACGAGGATTTTAATTGGGTAGTTACCTAGGTCAAAATAATTTAATTCGACGTTTCAATCCAATAAAATATCGAAAAATAACTGTACTTTTATTCATCGATCGATTGATACGCTAATTTTGAGATATTTTTAAGCTAATTTTTAAGAAATGAGTAAGCTTTCACGCCAAAATACTATGACCTAGAGTAGCTAGTTGCCTATATACTGAAAACTAACAAAGTGCATTGAGAATGACATCTATTGAATTAAACTCCAACTTTCAAAAAAAATATATTGTATACTAGCTACTCTCAAGCGGTTTCACCTGCTGCTCGGCTCCATTTAATCGTAGCGTGATGTTTTATAGCCAATACCACTAAGGAACATTGTAGCTATCTATCAGTGAAAGAATTTTGGCAATCCGACCAGCGGTTCCAAAGATTACCCCCTTCATATAAACTTACAAATTTTACCTCTTTATAATATTAGTATAGAAGAAAGTCATACCTCCTTAAGAACTAGTTTCAAGTCACAATTTTTTATTTCAGGATCCAAACCCCCTGTTGATTGGGAAGCGTTAAAAATGGAAGCGTTAACTTCAAATACTGTAGTTGATTTAGAAAACTGGGGACCAACGCTCGAAGCGAGCCCTTGTTATTGTAATTCTTGCTCCATACTATTCCCAACAGTGAACGCTTTAGACGCCCATAAAATGATTAGCCATTCCTATCTAGTAGCTATGGACTTATCCCCCAAGAACACAGCGCGAAAAAGCACGGTGCCCTCAAAATATTGCAACCACTGCTCCAAAACCTTCCCCGACGATACATCGTTAATAAAACATCTGTACGAACTCCTCCCTCTAAATTTTCCCGTCAAAGAGGAGCCTGAAGACACAGAAACGGTGAAACCGAAGAAAATAGCGGCACAGTTGCCAAAAAAATTGAAATCAAGCACACCGGTGCCGAAAAAAATCAAAGTCGAACCGAAGGAAGAGGTTGAACAGACTTTGGAAGTTCCGAAAAGAAAAATCTGTTTCAAATTACCCAGAGACGGGAAATTCTTTGCGTCCTCCTCACTTGTGCCTCGAGGGACGTTGTTTCAGTGTAATATTTGCCAAATCGGTTTCATATCGTGCTTCGCTGCCTTACAGCATAGTAAATATTGCGAAAAAGCACTAGCCTTCGACAAATGTGGTGTCTGTAAGCGAAAAATTCGGAAAAAAGACTCCGCTATACACAGTCTCCAACATCAGACGAATGATAAGTTAAAAATTTACACCGTCAACAAAAATATGTACGACAAAGTACTATGTAAGTGTCCGAAATGTTTGTCCTGCTTTGATGAGCTCGGTTTTTGGGCGCATTACGGTAAATGCAAGAAATCTGAGAGAAAGTCGACGCGATGCCCCGATTGCGATCTGCATATAGCTTCTACGAGATACCAACTTCACCGCATAAAGCACGCTTCGAAGAAATTGTCGAAAAAAGAACTAATCGTCATTGAATTCTTTGACCATTCCGCGAAAGGCACGGTTGATATGCGAAAAACAGCTAAGGAATTCAAGAAAAAGTTTAGAGAGAAGATCAGACGCACACGGCAAGGCGCGGATGTGGTTATTTACCCCCATGACATACCGTTGTATTACTGCGACGTCTGCGGATGTTGCCAATACAAGTTAAGCTATAAAGGCCATGCGAACGGCATGTGCAGGACTTACAAATCAAAGAAGTACTGCGAAAAATGCGGTCTCTGTTTCTCAGCAAAAGGAATTACGAGTCACCGCAGACTGCACGCCAACCGCTCATTCCAATTAAAAGACATCAAAATATTCAATCTGTCTAGCGGCCAAGTAATGGAACCACCCTTACCAGAAATGTACAGATGCGAAAAATGCGAAAAACACTTTCTGTATTACAGGAACGTTCGCTTCCATAAATGTAAACAGGAGAAATTTCTCACGTGCAAGGTCTGCAGTAAGAAATTCAACATCCAAGCTTATAAGATACATAAAAAGTTCCACGGCGTCGACGAATTGATTCCGGAGTTATTGAAAAAGTACAATTTAATTCAGACCACGTGGAACGTTTTGTTCATGTGTCAAGCTTGTGAGATCGTCAACATGACATACGATGCAGCGGTTACCCATTCCCAAGGTCATTTAAATTACGTTATAACGGATTTTCATAAAATGTGTTATAAGTGCAATTTGAAGATCGCCGAAAAGGAATATCATTCGCATCAAAATTTGCACGCGAACAATGCCAGTTTGGACCGGGAATCGTTCAAGTATTTAATATACAATCCGCAGGATTTGTTCAGAAAAGAATGGATGCAATTGTTCTCTGATTTACCCGAACAGGATCGGAGACAGATTTTGATGAAGAGTATTTATAGGTGAGTTTTTTATTATTATGTTTGTTCTTTCCTTTCACGGGACCACAGAGTCCCGGATATTTGCTTTAAAGAGCCAATAGACCACCACAGACTGGGCCCTATAGGGCTGATGTTCAGCCGGGGTTGTGGGGTAAGCGCAATGAGGCACCGCGACCTCGGCCTAAAGCAGGAGTAAGAACGGGGGGTTTTGAGTCAATAAGAGTTTGGCACTTCTTCTCGCCTCACCATGGGCGGGAGACGTCATTTGATGAGTTTACCCTGACTAAACAGAGGGTCCCGGACCTTTAGTAGGCGTATGAGGGGCCAAAGAGCCGCTACGCTTGCGTAGAGGCCCTTTGAACTACTCATTAGCCGGCAATTATGCTTGAATGCATTATGAAATTGCAGTCAAAGACAATCCCCGGTTGATGCAGGACTATTGTGTAATATGGTAGAAAATGATATGGTTATATGTAGCTGTGGACTGACCAGTCTACCCCTGACCTGAATATTTATACATACGGATAAACATGCAGGGTTATTATTATTATTATAACATGTTTTTATTTTACTTGCGATCTATGTATCTATTTATGTATGTGAAGTCCGAATCTCACAACAAAAATTTTGAAGTCGATTTTCTCATGGACAAACTATAAATGGTATTATTTTATGTCACCATCCGTTATAATTATTATACGTCCCGAAAGTGCTTTGAAATAGCTCGATTTAGAAAGACAACCTTATTGAAGTAGCGGTTTCTTAATATGTAGCGGTAATACCCCCCAACCCCCCCGCCCCCCTCAGTCTCTCACCCCTTGCCTCCAACCAAAGGTAGATATTGAACTTGTTTCACCTTAAGTGTAAATCGTTACCCTTTAAAATGCCTAAAAATTCAACATCACAATCCCCAAAGAGGCCGGCAACGCCCTCACTCCCCTAGTGTTGCGAGAGTCCATGGTCTGCCCCGATTGCTTACCGTCACGCTAAAAACGTCCTTTCTTAGGCCATAATCCGTCACTTTGTTTACTTGTAATAAAATAATTAAATTAAAGATTCATTAACTATTGTACCAGAAATCGATACATTCCACGACACCATTAATGTATTTAAATCAAAAATATTCGAGTCCATTAAACAATAATCCAAATTTGTGTATACTCCTCCTATCTAAAATGTTCGAAATAAAAATTACATTAGGTACATTCATGTAGCATAATTCTACATTTATAAATGGTAGCCCATATCGATTTTCATTTTATTAAAGTTGATACTTTACTATGATTAACACTGTTGTCCTACCTATGTTAATTTAATTAGTTCTAGTTTTAATTTCTATATATTTTTACTGTATAAACGCATAATTTTTAGAATGTTGGTTAGCTCGTAACTGGCTAATGTATATGACCTACTGCCTATAACCAATACTTTAAACCATTTTGTATATATAAGCTGTGAGCCTACCTTATAATAAATAAATAAATAAACTAAAAATCGCGGGTTACTCACGTGTGTAAATTGAGAAAAGCTCTACTAGTTTCGAACCACAGAGGGGTTCTTTCTCATGAGCAGCGCGGCGATGTCGCGCAGCCTACTGGTTAGCGTTGGCGCCTGCATCGCTGTTGATGGCGATTTTTAGTTAATAATAAAAACTTTAATATTCATATTTCTGTTACAGATACACCCGAAGCGTTCGTTTACAAATAGAATCTACATCCCTAACTGAAAAAAATAAGTACTTCTGTATGAATTGCAACAAATTTATGGATGGCCCAACAGTTTCGTCCCACATCGCAAATAACTGCGCCAAAAATAATGACATCGTTTGCGAATTATGTCACGAACCGTTTCAATCTCTAAACCAGTTACTAGACCACGATGGGGATCATGAGAAATTGAGTCAGAAATTCACTGTTATTAGTTTCAATAATGAATGTGATAAGGCGTTCAATAGTCATCTCAAAATGCTCGAATCCAAAACCCCTTATCAAAGAAAGAAGCTTAAACAAGAAGTACCTTTATCAAAGTTAAGAGAATTATTACTTAAAGATGCGAACGCTAAAAAGGCTTTTAAACTATACAAGTGTACAAATTGTAGCACTTGTGTTAGCTTAAAGTCTAGCGTGAATCGCCATAACTGTGTGCCGGAAGGCGAAAGAAAATTTTGTAAAACTTGTGAGCAATATTTTTCAGTGAAAAAATTCCAAGTGCATATGGAAGCTCATAGAAAGAGGCCGGATATTAGAAAGGGTATGTTTCACGTCGTAAATTTCGCTGGTAAGAATAAACTTAAAGATGAAGTTACTGCTAAGGTTTATCATTGCAATTGTGGGCTACATTTCACATCAATGAAAACTGTTGAGAATCATTTGGATGTTTGTAATAAAAATTTAAAAGTTTCGAAAGAAAAGTGTAGTAAATGTGATCTAGTATTCCCCACCGATCTACTTGTAACCCATATTATTAATCATCATAGTAAAGAAACGAAAATTAACATCGTAAACGTAGCTAAACTTAATTACTTTAAATGTTATAAATGTTCGAATATTTTCGTCGACATGCCATCTTTTAATGGACACTCGCTAAATTGTGACGCGAAAAACGGTGTCAAATGTACGAATTGTAAACTAACATTCGATAAAAGATCCCTACCGAAGCATATGGTAGACTGCGTTAATAAAAGTAACGTTACTTATATAAAAAAGATTGTTACAATAAAGAAAATCGTTAAAGAGTCGACTGTTTATCGGTGCGAAGAATGCGATTTGAATTATTTAGCTAGAAACACGTTTAAATACCACACGATTGAGGCCAACCATAAGCACAAAGAACCTATTCCTTGTGACGTGTGTGGACTGAAATTCACAAACTGTTCTTATCAGAAACATATTAAAATACACTCTGTTCCTAACGAAGACTACAAAATTAAAGTCTTGAACGGCCTTACGAGACAATTCTATTTCATGACTGGTAGTAATAAGGTCGACAATGAACCGTGGTCGCCTAAAAAACGTAAATTGAAAACTAATACCAATGATGACGATAGCCCAACTCTGAGCAAAGTTCAGAAAATTGACGAGAATGTTCCAAAAATTCGTAAAAGTCGGTCCAGGGGAGACGAATCGTTGACTTCGAATGATGAAGAAATGATTATTGTAGATGAAAATATTACAATTGAAAAATCAGATAAAAGTTTCGAAAATACCTCAAAGTCTAGACGGAGCCGGTCCAATTTAGACGTACCGTCGAATTTGAAAGACGGCGAAGATGTTCTCTCACCAGAACAGAGTCCTTCGGCTCGAAAAGTTGACCAAAATGTCCATAAATCGAGACCAAGTCGTTCGAAAATAGACGAGCCATCCACTTCAAGAGAGCTAATAGGTCCTGACCATCCAGATCACGCTGAAAGCGACATTTCGTTAGACGGGTCTGGCATATCAAATAAAGTTATATCAAAACTACACATTCATAAATACACAGCGACGTTATACAAATGCATATTCTGCAACCAACATTATATGAAAGATACGTCCTTCGATTATCACATTAAACATCATAAAAAATTATCCGAAACGATAAATCACAAGTGCGATACATGTGGGCTAGAGTTTTCTAAACACACTTTACCTAGGCACCAGTTTGTACATCATAAGAAAATGGATCTAAAACTGGAAGATTTTAAAATCCTCACCGAATCCACTTACTCGCCTGATGCCGAAATCAGGACTATGATGGCCCACCTCCAAGCTAAAGATGGGATTCCTAATCTAGAAACGACAACCGATAGCGCTCAAAATGATAACTTAGATGAAAGTCTAGAATACATTGACGTAGAAAATACGGAATCAGAGGAAAGTAATGAAAATATGATTTATTTTAAATGCTCCGAATGTAACGTTTGTTTCGTAGATGAAAAAATGTGTTTCGAACATACGAATAAACATGAAATTATGGATCCAAAAATGTATATACAGTGCAAAATATGTGAATTCCAATTCATGATCGATGCTCTAAAAGAACATATGACTGAGCAACACAAAGACGATTTTAAAATAGACGGTTTGATTATACACGAATATTTACCTCAAGTAGGCTCGGAGCCGAAAATTCAGACTTATAAAGCTATAGATAAGGTTCAGTCCCGCTTAATTAGTACCACTACAGATGTAGGTATATCATAGAATTAGAAATGTACATAGTTTTGTAAAAACCTACTATTTTCGCGGGTGTCGGTAACCGACCAACAACGATGATGGGAAATCTCAAAGGTTATCAAAGGATAACCTTTGAGATTTCTCACACATACATCATCAGCCTATAAGTGCCCACTGCTGAGCAAAGGCCTCTTGGGCGTTAATTACGACGCTTGCTCAAGGCGGATTGGTAATTTCAAACTTATAATTCGAATTTAAAAGTCTAGATTTCCTCACTATCTTTAATATTGTCTTAATAATCATAGAAAGTACATATAACAAGGATAAGCCGCATTGGTACTTGTTAGCTTCCACTTCCACAAGCTTCTCATGCATGAAGTTTCGAAACCTGAAAAGTACCAATGTGACATTCGAATTAAGTTTGAAATCATCGATCCGCCTTAAGTTCATGGTCATTAATGCTCAAACCTTCTCCGTGTGAGAAGAGGTCTTTGCTCAGCAGTGGGCACTTATAGGCTGATGATGGGTCACGTCACTACAGAACTTTGTGCCTCCTCTACATACGCGGGGTTTGGCACAATCTCCACTGGAATTCTCGTTAGAGGTCGCAGTGTAACAGGTTCAGGTTGATCAGAGACCGCTGCTATCCAGCCTGTCTAATATATAGCTTTACCGATACCCGCAGGAATAGCCGTGGTGGTTAATGTATATTACACATTTGACTCTAAGGTCGCAGCTCATGAGAGCTACCCGGCACCTCCCTAAGTCGCCTCGACGCATGGCGTCCAATCGTTTACTACAGCTAGTCAACGCGTGGACGCTTTCTCCTGTTAATAATTGGCACTAGGAAAACGCGCTATCCAGTCGAGACCCGCGCGTCAACGCACGACAGATTTCGTGGTCGAAAATTGTCATCGACTGATCCATCTGCCGTCCGCGCGTGACGGGCTTAATACACAGGCGATCCGGTGACGCAACGGAGTTGTTATAGTGATGGCATGCCTTTTATAAGACCATATAAAGAATACTAGCCTCAGAAGTGTTGGTGCGGAATGGATGTCGGATGGCTCTAATGTGACCTTGAAAATTTCTTTTGTAAGAAAGTAGGTAGGTAATAATACATTTTGTGTTTTGTACTTGTATTAAGTATATTTATTTTGAGTATAATCTGTGTGTAAGGTTACTGAACGCCAAATCCTCTCCTTTACCCCTCCAATTCCTAACCCCGACTAAACTGGCAACGCATTTAAAACGTTTCTGGTTTAACGTGTATCCATGGGCGGAGATTGCTTACCATCAGCGATTCGTCTGCTCGTTTGCCGACTTTTTTAATAAGCCGTGTAAGTGAGGTTACCACAGACTTAACCCTACTCCCTTATGCCTCCAATCCTCGTTAAAAGGCCCTCCAACTAACGCACTTCTAAACCGCAAGAAATGGACTATCTAACACCAAAAAACTTGTTCAATTCGAACCAGTTTTTCTGGAGTTTAGAACGTTAATACAAACACACGCTTTATAGTTTTAGGATAGATTTTTGTATTTACAAAACGACAAAGTTATTAAGTATCATAGGTTTTAGCAAAAATGGCTTCCAAAATTTTAGTTCTAAAGACCCCGATCGAGGACATTATTTTTAAAGCAAAAGACTCTTAAGTTAGAAAATAGACTGAAAAAGTGTAACTAGACATTTTTTTACATAACTAACATACTTAAGTTAATAATATGTATTGTTATTTTTACGCACTCACGAGTCACTTTATGATAAGTAATAAGGCAGTTATGTTTAAGAATGAACAGTATATACCATCGTCTTAAAACGTGATTTTGAAGAAGTAATTCGTTATTAAGAATAATTCTAAAGCTTCCCTACCGATTTAATTGCTTTAAGTTTAATAAATAACTTTAGAAATTATTTTCGCTTGCCTAGAGGGCGCTGTTGTAGCTTTAAAGCCAATCGGGCTTGGTATTAAGGTATACCGTTCTTTTCACATCGGGTGGCGTTAATATAGCATGAATTCTGTTCAATAGATAAATAAATAAAATAAAAAAAAAAAAAATAGAGAATTTGTAACAGATCGTTGGATATTAACACGCTGTTTGATGATCAAAATATTTAAAACGCCCTCTACCGAGTGCTAAAATGTTACTCATAATGATTTTTATGTTTTTTTTTTTTTTTGTAATAATTAAGTTTCCTTTTTGTACATTATTGTTAAGTGTTGATGTGTTATTGCTGTAAATAAAAAACGTGATTTTTGTATTTCATTTTGTTTTTATTTCATTATCGAAATAATTATAATGTTTTCTCATCTTTGGTGATTTAGCCTCTTGAGAAGGGTGAAGCGGCGTTGGTTTCCAAGTAGAAAACGCCGGATTTTCTAAAGTAAAAACAAAAAAAAAACATAAGTAGGTATAACAAAAATACTACTCAAAATGTCCTTTTTTTGTGCATCAGCCGGGGTTGTGGGGTAAGCGCAATGAGGCACCGCGACCTCGGCCTAAAGCAGGAGAAGGAACAGGGGGTTTTTAGTCAGTAAGAGTCTGACACTCCCTCCCGCCCGGCCCTGGGCGGGAGAAGTCATTTGATAAATTTCCCCTCACAAAAAAAAAGTTTTTTGTGCATGTCACATCTTATAAGAATTCAACTAATGGCATAAATGATTACAAATTATATTTTATATTTTAAATTAACGTCAGGACGAAACAAACCAAATGGAATGGAAGAGCTTTTTGAAGTTTTTAGGTTAGGCTGCCATTTATATAAATCAAGATAAATTTAAAATGTGGGGGAGCCATGTTTTGACACTGCTGTATTTAGTCATGTGAGTGAGGTTACACAGTCTTTTCCCTATTCCCAGTCTTCAAATTCCTAAAAACACCCAAAAGACTGGGACGATTCTACTCCTCTGGTGTTGCGAGCGTCCATGGGCGGCAACGATTGCATACCAACCTACCATGAAGTACCATCAGGTGATCCGTTTGCTCATTTGCCGACATTTTGTATCCCATAGAAATACAGATGTGAAAGGCCACTTCTTTTATACTGCGTAGTATGTTGTATCTATAATTATAAGCTTGTTTTAGTTTCTTATTTTATCTTATTATCTTCCCTTTCTTTTTCTCTTCCCCCCCCCCTCTCTCTCTCTCTCTCTCTCTCTCTGTCTCTCTGTTTTTAAACCTTTTTAGTGTTATTTTGTTAGGTATATAATTATTTCTTCCTGGCCTTCATGTCTTAACACATTTCATATCATTTTTAAAAGTACAAGTATACTAACCCAGTCTTCGGTTCAATACCTCCCATGTGTAATGTTTCTTCAAGATGACAGTCCCCTACAAGCGCATGTTCGTAGCTCTCACATTTAACTCCCGTAAAGCCTCCATTTCGTATGGATTCTGCAAAGTAGTAGAAGCATCTGAAATGAGACAAACGAATTGGACTTAAGTGTTTATTTATCCGGGTCTACAAGCGCAATAATAGGCATACCGCGACTCCAGTTTAGAGCAAGCGCGGATCCAGCCTTCAAAAAAGGTTGTGGTCACAGCTACTAGAAAATCGGCTAAGTACGAGTCGGAGCAAGGACATGCTCATTAACAATCATGCAAATCGTTTATGAACTTATGAATTAGATTTCCTTTTTTCTGAGCATCAGGACTTTGGCCACGACTTCTTCTTATTTCTAATAGTCAGTTTCGATCCAAACCTATTTCAATCACAAGTGTATTAAGGTTGTGGGCATGCCCATCGTGCCCACAACGGTGGATCCGCCCTTGGTTTAGAGTAGGAGAAGGAACGGGATGGTTTTTTGGTGAGTATTAGTAGTATTTATACCGCGTACATCGTGGGTTCGAGGGAGAGGGTCAACAGTTTGCCGGCTGCAGTCTTTCCGTCCGAATGTAATTTAGGTGTCTTCAAGGCTAGAGTGAATAGGCTCTTAATAAACTAGTGCGCCTTACCATCAACGATTGCATCACTGCTTACCATCAGGTGGGATCGCAGTCAAGCACTAGTTTATTGCAAGTAAAAAAAAAGAGTAAGGGTCTGACAATCCCTCTTGCGCTACCCACGAACCCACGTTTTCGGATCAGAATTGGATTGCTCGTAGTGTGGAATGACTCAAATCTGGCGCATGTATTTCTATACTTCGATGTGTATTTCCAGCTTGACCGGAGTGATACCACTCACAGGATACTGGCGTGAAACAGCGCTAGCGTTGTCTTTTGGCCGTTCAGCTGTGCCTGCTATTTCATTTAATTAAACCCCTTAACATGCAAATGAAGAATTTGTGTTTGAGATTATGTGACAGAAGCTGTCATTAAATCCAATGCAGACCTCCAGATTCGATCTTCCATTACGAACCCCAATTTTCTGGCTCCCAAATGCCTGGCAACTGGGCTCTTTCTTCCGGCACTGATTGCTTACCTGGTGTTTAAATGTGGAAGAGCCAAGCTTCGACTCGACCGGAGTGATACCACGGCCTCACAGAAAACAACTGGCTGCCCAATCCCTCCCCCTGCCCCCACATCCTTTCCCAATCCTTAAATATATGAAACCCATTTCCCTAAAAAGCCGGCAACGCACTCGTAACTCTTTTGGTGTGGCGGATGACTATGGACTGCGCTGATTGCTTGCCATCAGGTAATACGTCTCCTCGTTTACTGACCTAAACCATAAAGAAGTCTTATCAATTACCCGTCCCATAAAAATCAAAGAAACTCACCTATCATGATTACAAGGGATGAACCAACATCCAGGCATTTTGTCCCCACCGTTGGGATAGAAGTCCACTTGAGCAAGCGGTTCCAAATAACCTGAAAATCCTACGTTGGTGTGGATGACTTCAGTATAAATGCCATCTGATGGTTTGAAGGTATGCTCATATCCATCCCAACCAGGGCCTGCAGGATCCAAGCCTGAAAAGAACAGCTTTTTTTAAACGTTGCCCCACATTAAGATCTTTTCCTGTGTCTACATACATATCTATATATTTGTTTGTCTTTGTCTAGCCATAAAACGTTGCTACCATCCGTGCGTCACTGCAGTGGTGCCCACTGAAAATCAGTGCTGGGCGACTTGTATGCCTAGCTTACACTGAGTGGGTAACCCATTTAGCATGGGCATGTTGTAGCGTGTATTTACTGTTTCATCTGTTTTAATCTTTAACTCGTCTTTATCTTACTTCTACTGTCACAATTTTATTGTCTTTTTATATGCTGCATCGTGCCTGGTGCTGAATAAATGTTTTCTCTCTCTCTCTCTCTCTCTCTCTCTCTCTCTCTCTCTCTCTCTCTCTCTCTCTCTCTCTCTCTCTCTCTCTCTCTCTCTCTCTCTCTCTCTCTCTCTCTCTCTCTCTCTCTCTCTCTCTCTCTCTCTCTCTCTCTCTCTCTCTCTCTCTCTCTCTCTCTCTCCCTCCCTCTCTCTCTCTCTCTCCCTCCCTCTCTCTCTCTCTCTCTCTCTCTCTCTCTTGGGAGGGCTTACAAATACACATACATAATTAATATGTAACACAGTCGACTCCACAAGGAAAGTTTTTCCATGCGGATATCGATCGTTCAGCGATTTCACAAGCCGCTATACAATGAATTTTCACCAAACAATTTAGAGAATACTAGCGGCCCGCCCCCGTTTCGCACAGGTACAACTATCTATCAATAATAATAAAATATCTATCAAAGGGTCACTTTTTTCTAATCTTCCACTCTACTTTTCTAATATTTTCTTTGATGAAGCCTTTGACAAGATGGCGACAACGTAGGGCAGGGTGGAAGAGTTTTCACCGTGTATCGGATCTATTCTTTAGTACTGTTGGTTAATCTTAACTGGGCCTCATGTCTTGTTGTGTCTCAGGATTTTTAAACAAAAGCGACCGTTTAAAGCGATAGGTCGACTAAAACCAGTAGCAGTATAATTTTGCTTCTAGCACTCAGTACTATTGTAGCTATCTATCAGTGAAAGAATTTTGGCGGTTCCAAAGGTGATCTACATACATATTACTGGCTAAATTGGCCCTGTGCTATAAAGAGTATCTGAATACAAGGTAATTAATGGTCTATTTTATTAATTAAGTTGCCAACATTTTTTAAACACGGACAAGCTGTATTCTAATATGTGCATTCAATGGTATTTTACGTGACTAATAACATTAGCAGTCGCCATTTTTGCTGGCGACTGGTACCTTTGGCTGGTTCCATAGGTTCAAAAGAAGCTTTTGTGATAGATATTCAGTATGGTTCTTAAAAATTACGGAGATCTTTGAAAAATACACTTAAAATTCGTTATTATGGTCAAATTATAACCTAAAAGTCTGATTATTTTTTTTTGAAATATATCTACTCCGCAGCTAGTCCGCTATAAAAATAAAATTGTATAGGAGTTTACTAATGATTGAGACTACATCATCAGCCTGTAAGTGCCCACCGCTGTGCAAAGGCCTCTTCTCACTCGGAGAAGGTTAGAGCATTAATCACCACGCTTGCTCAATGCGGGTTGGTAATTTCAGACTTAATTAAAAATTATAAGTCCAGGTTTCCTCACGATTTTTACCTTGTCAGTGGTGTCTAAATAATCATAGAAAGTAGATATAACTTTGAAAAAGTTACTTTGGTACTTGCCAGGATTCGTACTCACACCCTCATGCATGAGAAGCGGGCGCCTTAACCTCCGGGCCATCATCACATTATATATAGACTACAATACTACATAGACAGATACTAGACTAGACAATTTCCGATGCTCTTGGCTCCAGGGCCGCAGAACAATGTCCTTTTAGCTCATTATAATATTAATAAAGTTATGCAAAACAACAAAACTTACCAGTGACATACCCGGCCTTGCCACCAAGGTTTCTCCCAACGATACCAGCTTGCTGGCCACCCAAACTGAATCCTGCAATATGGTACTTCGCAACATCGGCTCCAGTGACGTTGTTTACCCAAGAAATGAAACGTGCAACTGCAGCACCTGGAAAAAGAAAATCATAATGGCCAATTAACAAGAGTTTTTTTGACAGGGGAAAATCATCAAATGAATTCTACCGCCCAGGGTACGGCGGGAGGTAGTGTCAGACTCTGACTGACTAAAAACCCCCTGTTCCTTCTTCTGCTCTTAGCCGAGGTCACGGTGCCTCATTGCGCTTGCCCCGCAACCCCGGCTGAACATCAGCCCTATAGGGCCCCGTCTGTGGTGGTCTATTGGCTCTTTGAGGCGCGCGCGGAACGCTACGCGCTAGCTATTGAAGTTTTAATATTTGACTGCTGTATATCGTTTATGTAGGTAACTATATGATGCCAATAGACCACCACAGATATTATGAAGAGGAGAAGGCACGTGGTGGTTTTTAGTTTGTAAGATGACGTTCTTCATCTCACCCAGAACGGGAAGAGAAATTCGTTGGTTTTCTCCACTTTTTTGTTAGGACGGCAAAGCATTCAGATTACCTGATGGTAAGTAATCGTCGCCGCTTATAAACACCCGTAACACCAGAGGAGTAAGAAAGTCAAAAGTCAAAATCATTTACTTATTTCAATTAGACCTTTACAGGCACTTTTGAATGTCAAACAAAATTTAAAGTTATAAAACGTCAGTCTGTCGGTCAGTCCTCTTAGTGAAGCTATTTGCACGTTCCAAAGTGCAGATTCCGAGAAGAACGAGCAAGAAACTTCAGTGCGTTGTCGGGCTTTGGGGCGTAGGGTTTCGGAGAATTAAAGTTAGGGGAGGGACAAAGTATCGCGGCTTCGGCTTAGAGCAGGAGAACAAACGCAGGGAGATCTAGTCAGTAAGAGTCTGACACTCTCTTTCGCTATATCTAAAGCGAGAGAACATATTTCATGATTTTCCATCCTCAAAATAAGGGGGAAGGTAATAAGGATTGGTTCAAACAAAAGAAATCTAATTTCTGGATGTCGTAACGTTCGAGGCATGTTTTTAACCGTTTAGTTAATAGAAAGAAAGAAAGAAAAAGTATTTATTCGCGTGTGGGACGCATAAAAGACACAAAACGAACAAGATAATAAAATAAAGTTAAAATAAAAATACATTGAGCAAGGTAAAAACAATATCACAAAAGTAGACGGTAGGAGAAAAATATGCGTCCAAGCACGCGAAAAAATTAATGCTACATACCAAACAACAACAGTATTAGAAAAATATATTGATCGGTACCTACTAATCATCAAACTAGCAAGAAGTATGTAGGTAATATCTTTACACTATTAAAGTTTTATTTGGCACCGACTTTAAGATTATAAAATAGTTATTAAATATTATTTTCTATTTAACTAAATGAAAATATGTGTAATACATTTGAACAAAGTAAATTAATTTTTTTTTGCTTTTTAGTTTACTTTTTGAAGTCGGTTTTTTTTTTGTTAAAAATTATTTTGTTATTGCTGTTCTTAAATTTAGCAGCTAAGTCATTAAGGTGTCACCGATCTCCTTGTTATATAGTATTTAAGAATTCACTTACCAGAAAGGACAGTGTTTTCAATGGCTATCCCATAGTTAGGGTTGCTGCCGCCTGCACTCCAGTCTACCACGATGACATTCATATCTTCTGCCGCCAGGAAAGCTGGTGAAAGGAGGCAAAAACATAAAAATCAGAGAACCGTTTTGTTTAAAAAAAAAAGGGCTGCAATTAGAAAAAGAAATTGCAGAGAGAAAGAGAAAGAATTTATGTATGCGAGAGGAAAGTTAGCTCCCAAAATTTGCTGCATATCACCACCATACACCAAAAGGATGACTGGCAGAAAATGCTTCTAGCATTAAGTCCTCTTATATGTAATTGTATATAAAGAATAAATAAATTAAGCTTCGGTACGAATTGGCCGGCCGGGGGGGTGACCATGACATTCAAAGGAAGACTGTTTTAATCTTACTTCAGAATGGGTAAGAGAAAGAGCTATACAAGTTGTCTAGTTCTGTCTCTTTCCCACACTGAAGTATGATTAAAACGTCATGGTTAACACCCTGACAGGGGTGCTAAATCTATATATATAAAAGAAAGTCGTGTTACACCACTTATAACTCAAGAACGGCTGAACCGATTTAGCTGAAAATTGGCAGGGAGGTAGTTTAGAGCCAGGAGAAGGACATAGGATAGGATAGAGTAGGTAGAGTAGGTCAGGTAGAGTAGGGTAGGTAGAGTAGGGTAGGTAGAGTAGGGAAGGTAGACTAGGGTAGCTAGAGCAGGTTAGGTAGAGTATGGTAGGAAGAGTAGGGTAGGTAGAGTAGTGTAAGTATTGTAGGGTAGGTAAAGTAAGGTAGGTAAAGTAGGGTAGGTAGGGTAGGTAGTCAAATGACGGGAGCGACGCCGCGGGTAAGAGCTAGTTAAGTATATATTTTTTATGGCAAATGTCGGCAAACGAGCAGACGGATTACTCATTGGTAAGGAATCAGCGCCACCCATGGACACTCATAAATTGTGGGTGATAAGGTTTATTTTCTGTAAGACCTAGATATTTAAGTGTAAGAGAGCCATTCTTTGGCATGAATAGGCCGGCTCGACTGAAGTTATACTACGGCCTCACAGAATACAGTACGGCCGACGTATCTTGGCGAGTCTGAAGTTAGCCATTTGTCTGCGCAATGGATCTTTTAGGAACAAAATTGTGTACTGCGCAGCTAATCAGCTAACTTCAGACTCGCCAAGATACGTCGGCGGTATTGTACCTCTTGAAGAAACATTTACTTCGTGTTACGCCATGTGAGTGAGGTTAGAGAAGGCCTAATCCATTTTCCTCTATCCTTAAATCCCTAATATACCACAAGAGGCCGGAAACGCACTTGTAGTAACTTGTTTGTTATTACGAGCGTCGATGGCTGGCGCTAACTGCTTAGCTTACCATCAGCTAATCTGTTTACTGTTTTGTCGACTTATGGCATTGTAACGAATAGACGAGTCACAATCCTCAAGGTCACGCAAACACCAGGTCTAATGAGGTGATCAACAAAAAAATGTAATTATTAATTATGTTTTCGGCTTACTCACGTAATAATTTGACGAGATACTCGACTAGTTTCAAGCCGTGCTAGAGGCCCATATTCATGAGCAGCATTCCGCGACACGCGACTCGGCGACTGTCGCGCAGCTACTCTATAACTACGAGTATCTCGTCAAATTATTACGTGAGTAAGCCGAAAACATAATAAATAATTTAGAATGTCTCACGAAAGTTATAATAAAAAAAAAATGTGGTGATAATGTACTTACCAGCCAACAAAACTGCGTTGAAGTTACCAGTGGCATTATCGAACCATCCGTGCAATAATACGGCAGTCCTGTGTGCAGGGTTGAAGTTGTATGCTTTCAATAGCGGCTCGTTCCCAGGTACAATTGGCTGACTCACTGACGGGTTCTTTCTGTTGACACAAGAAAAAGTACATTGCTTATTTATCATCATCACCATCATCAGCCTATAAGTGCCCACTGCTGAGCAAAGGCCTCTTCTCACAGGGTGAAGGTTTGAGCATTAATCACAAAACAAAACACTGCTGTATAATGTTGGTGATTGCAGCTCCTCGACACGACACCGTCCTCGGGACGGTAATATCATACGTCGTGTTATAACACAATTCTGAATAAAGCTGATGTATATGCTTTTAAGCGGATAGTATTTTAGAGCAAGTGTAAACGTAACTCAATCAATAATATAAAAAAAACTCTATTACTCACTCGTAAATAATAGTAATGAAAAATTCACAGTTTGATTACCTATAGGTGTCATTATGTGCCTAATTGCCGTGGGATTAGAGCCACTTTATGAGGAAGTGCGTTGAAACAATAATTTATTTTTATTTATTTAACATATTGTTTAAAGGCGAGAAGCGCTCATTTTTTTTCTTTTTTCTTACTAGCTAATTAAGTACCTTATAATTACAATTAAAAAGCAAACTAAAATCAAAATACACATTATAAAGGATACCTAAATATTAAAGAATGCATTGCCTACGATCTCTTAAGCAATTCCCTCAACTTTTTCTTCGACATAAACAGACTCACTTTATTTTCCTCTCTCAATAAATCTAGGTATTTTATTGAATATTTTTGGCACTATGTATTTATTAGTTCTCTCACCATAGTAGTTTATTATTCTAGGTTTATTTAACATACGTTCTCTAGCCCTTCTGGTGTTATATTTATTCTCTATTATACATTTATATCCATTGCTATAGTAATACCCTAATCCTATTAAATACTCAACTTTCTCATCTATCGGCAGAATTTTACACATTGGAAATAGTTTATCAAAATCCTTATTGCACATGTATCAATTCACTAACCTTGTAAAAAGATGGTAAACATTGTCTCTGTCTGGATTGTATCTGGCGCCGAAGTCAGTAGCTGGCTGCCAAAGATCCACTAAGTGTAATCTGCCCAGACCATCTTGGACGTGTTGATACCGAGGGCCGGTACCACGAGGAATGAAGATACCGTTCGGCACAGCTATGGGAGAAATTTCATCATCATCATCTTTTTTTTTATGTTATAGGTCGGCAAACGAGCAGACGGATTACCTGATGGTAAGCAAACAGCGCCGCCCATGGACATCGGACAACGGAGGAGTTACGAGTGCGTTCCCGACCTTTTAGGGATTAGGGATTGAGGAGGGGAAGGATTGGGCCTCCGGTAACCTCACTCACACGGCGAAACACAACGCTGTGGTTGTTTCACGCCGGTTTTCTGTGAGGCCGTGGTATCACTCCGGTCGAGCCGACCCATTCGTGCCGAAGCATGGCTCTCCCACATCATCAGCCTATAAGTGCCCACTGCTGAGCAAAGGCCTCTTCGCACACGGAGAAGTTTGAGCATTAACCACCACGCTTGCTCAAAACGGATTGGCGATTTCAAACTTTAGTTAGAAATCCAAACTACTATTATAAATGTGAAAGTAACTCTGTCTGTCTAACTGTCTGTCTTTTCTTCACGCCTAAACTACTGAACCGATTTCTGTGATATTTGGTAGGCACAGACATAGTATGGATTTCCAAAAAGGACATAGGATAGTTTTTATACCAAAAATCTGCAGGTAGTCACTATTCCACGCGAACGAAGTCGCGGACTAAAGTTTGTTTTATTATGAGTCCAGATTTCCTCACGATGTTTTCCTTCACCGTATGTACTGTTTAGCGTTTATGATCACGTAAACTAAACGTATATGTATACAGATTTTCAACTGAATCTGTTGAAGATATCTTCTTCAAATATTAATAGCAAGATTCCATTAATACTCAATACTCAATACGTTTATTGCACTCCATATGTTTAAAAGGTGTTACATAATAATATAGCACAGTATGGACCCTGTAGGGCACGGCAACGTTGAAAAGAGGAGGACGCTAATTTTATTTAGATTATGTATCACAGATTTTTTATTACTAGTTATAAATAGTTGTTTTATTCAATTTATTTTGTAATGCTATTAGTATTATTTATGAAAATGTTTATAAATGTACTTATATATTCTATGTAGGTATTCATAATTATATTAAACATTTAATAATTTTTTTCGTTATATATTTAAATATGTGTATTGTAATAGGTGAATTAAGTACACAAACATAGAAATTAAATAAAAACTTGTATCTAGCGATAGACCCACAGCAAACTTAATTAAGGTTAAAAAGTAATTGAGAAAGAGAAAAAAGGGAGTGTTAGTGCGAGAATATCTAAGTACGAGAGTCATGCTTCGGCACGAATGGGTCGCCTCGATCGGACACAGAAAATCGGCGTGAAACAACCACGGCGTTGTGTTTCGCCATGTGAGTGAGGTTACTGGAAGCCCAATTATTCCCTAATCCCAAAATTTCAAAATCCTTAATCACCAAAAAATTCAGCAACGTAACTCCTCCATTGTTCAAAGAGGGGCGGCCCGCGTGAGGGAGCAAACCTCCACGTCCGGCGTCGGGGATTGAGAGATGATCTCCGGCCACCGTAAGCACGGGTCTGCGGTCGGCGAGTAAAGGCAGCTCGCCGCCCGACCAGAAACAGGCCCGAGTGTAACGCGCGTAGCGTTCCGCGCACGCCTTAAAGAGCCAATAGACCACCACAGACGGGACCTTATAGGACTGATGTTCAGCCGAGGTTGAGGGGTAAGCGCAATGAGGCACCGCGACCTCGGCTCAGAGCAGGAGAAAGAACAGGGGGGTTTTTATTCAGAAAGAGTCTGACACTCCATCCCACCCTTGATTCCTTGCCATCAGGTAATTCGTCCACTAATTTGTAGTTCTATCACAAATAAAAAAAGAAGAAGGAAAAAGCTTACCAGCCACGAAGGTCAGCCCCAACAAAAACAAAATCGGGACCATTGTTAACACCAAGATGTTCAGTAACGGAATGAAGTTAAGGCTATACTATATATAGTATAAACTTATCTAAAAAATAATCCAAACTAGTCACCAATACAAACAATAATATATTATGTAAGTAGGTAATCTATTTTATTTTATTAAAAGATAAATCTATTATTTGTAATTTGTAATCGTAATCCTTAATCATCAGTAAGTATCTAAGTAAATATTTATATTGTAAAGTTGAAGAGTATTGTGTTTGTTTGTTTCAGTGCTTTTAGCTAGAAAACTCATCATCAGCCTATAAGTGCCCACTGCTGAGCAAAGGCCTCTTCTCACACGGAGAAGGTTTGAGCATTAATCACCACGCTTGCTCAATGCGGATTGGCGATTTCAAACTTATATCTAGAAATTCTAAGTCGAGGTTTACCTCACGATGTTTACCTTCACCGTATGTCAGTGGTGTCTAAATAATCATAGAAAGTACATATAACTCGGAAAAAGTCACATTGGTACTTGCCAGGTTTCGAACCCCATGCATGAGAAGCGGGCGCTTTAACCTCTGGGCCACCACCACATTTTAGCTAGAAAACTACTGGTTCGAATTTAATGTTTATTTTTGTGTTGTAGGTATAGTTTTCTGGCGATCCGTTACAGTTTCGCACGGGTGAATTGCTGGTACTACATATGGAAATTCATCTTCAATCACTCTATTTATTAAAAAAAAACACATCAAAATCCGATTCGTAGTTTTAAAGAAGCATACATGATTTAAATGGTGGTGGCCCGGTAGATAAGGAGGTTTTCATGCATGAGAAGCGGGCTCGAAACCTGGCAAGTACCAATGTGACTTTTTCCGAGTTACATGTACTTTCTATGATTATTTAGACACCACTGACATACGGTGAAGGTAAACATCGTTAGGAAACAAGGACTTGTAATTTCTTATAATAAGTTTGAAATCGCTTAACCGCCTTGAGCAAGCTTGATTATTGTTCAAACCTTCTCCGTGTGAGAAGAGGCCTCTGCTCAGCAGTGGGCACTTATAGGCTGATGATGATGATGAAACATACATGAGGATATAGGGACAGGGATAGGTATACTATGTAGTGATTTATCGAAGAAGACTATACGGTATAAAATATTACGCTAACACCAACAGAAGCGATGTGTAAGTATCTACATATTATTATGTAGATGTAAGTTCTAATATTACAAAGAAACTAGCGGACCAGAAAACGTTGTTTTATCATAAAAAATATTTATCACTTAGGGGTATGAAAAAAAGCGAAGCGCGTGATGGAACTATCCTCCTCGCGCCCCAGCCGCCGCAGTAGGCGACATTCCGGCCGTCGGGGATCGAGACATGATCTCCGACCACCGTAAGCGCGGGTCTGCCGACGGCGAGTAAGGGTAACTCGCCGCCCGACCAGAACTAGACTCGAGCGTACGGCGCGTAGTGTACCGCGCGCGCCTCGAAGAGTCATTCCTTCCCCTCCCCCAATCCCTCCTAAATCCCTAAATCCCCAAACCAAATCCTTAATCCCTTAAAGGTCGGCAACGAACTCGTAACTCCTCCGTTGCGAGTGTCCATGGGCGGCGCTGATTGCTTACCATCAGGTAATCCGTCTGCTCGTTTGCCGACCTATTAAATTAAAAAAAAAAGAAAAAAAAATAGACCATTACAGACGGGGCCCTATAGAGCTGATGTTCAGTCGAGGTTGCGGGGTCCGTAAGCGCAATGAGGTACCGCGACCTCGGCCCATAGTAGGTAAAGGAACGGGGGTTTTTACTCAGTAAGAGTCTGACACTCTCTCTCGCCTTACCCTGGGCGGAAGAAGTCATTTGATGATTTTCTCCTGACAAAAAGAGGGGTATAAAAATTGGCTGTAGCCGATTCTCAGACCTACTAAATATACATGTAAAAAATCAGTAATGTTAATTCAATGATGTTGTAAAATGTCACTGAACTAATTAAAAAACTTGCGATGATGCGAAGAGTCTGTTTAGATTTATGGCCTTGATATGAGCAGAATGTATATATTTAGGATACGATGGGACTGACATACCCATAGTGATTAAAAATGTCCCTAAATAAATAAAGAATAAAAAAAAAATTAAAAAACTTATTGTACATCAGTATGTTGGGTCATAGCTGTGTACAATCTCAGTAGCAAGTTACAACTATTTGCTTCTTAAGTACAAGAATAAAAAAAACTTTGTATTAGTAGAGGATAAGCGTTGTCATATAACGTACAGTACGGCCGACGTATCTTGGCAAGTCTGAAGTTAGCCGTTTGTCTGCGCAATGGATCTTTTAGTAACAAAATTGTGTACTGCGCAGCTAATCGGCTAACTTCAGACTCGCCAAGATACGTTGACGGTATTGTAGTAATGCGGCTAGCAATCTAACACACTCAGTGTGGGAGAGCCATGCTTCGGCACGAATGGGTCGGCTCGACCGGAGAGATACCACGGCCTCACAGAAAACCGGCGTGAAATAACCAAAGAGTTGTATTTTGCCGTGTGAGTGAGGTTACCGGAGGCCCAATCTTTCCCCTCCCCCGATCCCTCCCCAATCCCTTAATCTCCAAAACCCTAATCCCTAAAAGGTCGGCCACGCACTCGTAACTCCTCCGTTGCGGGTGTCCATGGGCGGCGCTGATTGCTTACCATCAGGTAATCCGTCGGCTCGTTTGCCGACCTATTACATAAAAAAACTGGGCACTCCCCTATACCTAAAAAAAGAAAACGTTGCTTTTATCAAATATGGTGGAACACACTACCATTTTATCATTCGCGTTTTTCTCTTGTGTCGTGGGTGCGTCTATAAACATACAATTCCACATACACATCACACCCAGCAGACCCAGAATAAGAATTTGTAGATTCCAACAGCGGTTGCTCCGTGCGCGAGTCGAAACTACGACACGTTGCACAGCAGCTTGTTACCCAGGCATTGCGCCAACCGTGCAGTTGGTTGTCGTTGTCATTGGCAATGCTATCTATACTAATATTATAAAGACGTTTAATTTGTAAGTTTGTATGTAGGGGGTAATCTTTGGAACCGCTGGTCGGATTGCCGAAATTCTTTCACTGATAGATAGCTACAATGTTCTTGAGTGCTATAGGCTATAAAACATCACGCTACGATTAAATGGAGCAGAGCAGCGGGTGAAACCGCGCGAGAGTAGCTAGTTATAAGTAAAATGGTGTAGATAGGTTACCTAAACAAAATTCGACACACTGATACACACATGAACAGTTCGTATGTTTAGACGTCAAAGTGAGATGGCATGATTCAATAATCGCGAGTGGAAAAGAGACAAATATGAAAAAGTGTGGCTAGTTAGCCACATTTTAATGTATCACTTGCTGAGCGCTTGTAACCTATCTAAACCTTTTTACTTATAATATCATTGGATGCAGGAGTTTTTTTAATTTTATTTATTTATCCATTTATTTCAGGCATCGAAGGCCCATATAACCATATACAATACTATATAAAACTTAAAAATACTATAAATATAATATATAACATAATATTTAACTCTAGCACTATTGCACATGAAGTGTCGGCGTCATGTTTCGCTGACTAGTGTCATGTAGGCGGCAACGAAACCGGAGATACACGACACCCTTCGGCCAAAACTCTTCCTTGAGGAACTTCTCGAGATGGTGTGTCGGAACTCGCACCATGAACGACTTGAAGTTCGTGTTGTGACGCGGCTCCAACCTCTCGACCCTCAAGGTCCAGTTGGTCTTGACGCGCACGTACTCCACGATCTCCTCAACCTTCGATTTTATAATTTGATGCTTTGTTTTTTTTATTTAAAGTAACAGTTTAATAAAGAATTCATATATCCTATAATAATTTGTTATGTAAATAACACAGAAACCTGGCGTGAACCAACGCTAACGTTGTGTTTCGCCGTGTGACTGAGGTTATCCTTCACCCTCTGCATCATCAACACTCAAATCCTTTATCCTTAAATCGCCGAATAACCCAGAAGAGGCGCACTTGTAGTATCATCATCATCATCATCAGCCTATAAGTGCCCACTGCTGAGCAAATGCCTCTTCTCATATGGAGAAGGTTAGAGCATTGATCACCACGCTTGCTCAATGCGGGTTAGCGATTTCAAACTTATAATTAGAATTTATAAGTCCAGGTTTCCTCACGATGTTTACCTTCACCGTATTTCAGTGGTGTCTTAATAATCATAGAAAGTACATAGAACTCGGAAAAAGTCACATTGGTACTTGCCAGGTTTCGAACACACACCCCTTATGCATGAGGAGCAGGCTCCTTAACCTCCGGGCCACCACGACACACACTTGAAGTAACTCCTTTGGTATTACGAGTATCCATGTGCGGCGCTGATTGCTTACCATCAGGTAATCCGTCTGCTCGTTTGATGACCTACGACTTGTACCTACAGTTTAGTATAAGGACTGGATTTATCTAAATAATTAGGTTCTCCGGAGACTGGATATTATTTTCTGCTGGACAAAGCTGTGTTGAGAGTAATCGTGGAGATTCTTGCTCGTTCTTCTCCATTCGAATCTCCATTCTGGAATCAATGATACACCGTGGTCTAATTTGGACCAAAAGAAGGAGCAGGTTTTTGTCGGTATTACCTTATGGTAAGCAATTAGCGCCGCCCATAAACACCAGTAACAACGGAAGAATTAGGCATGCATTGCCGACATTTTGTGGATTTAGGGATTAGGGGAGGATAAGGTAAAGAGCTATGGTAACCTCACTCACATGGTGGAACACAACGCTGTGGTTGCTTCACGCCCGTTTTCGTGAGGTAAGTATCACTCCGGTCGAGCCGACCCATTCGTGCCGAAGCATGGCTCTCCCACACTTTCCTAGTTTTTAGTCAGTAAGAGTCTGACACTGAGGGTGAAAAGTCATTCTATGATTTTCCAAATGTAAAAAGGGACCCTAAAAACGTTTAGAAAATAATAAAACCACGATGAATCAGATTCTGGATGAGTCAATAACGAATTTAAAATGAATTACGATC